TTTCTTTCATTTTGTATTACTTGGATAGTGATATTATCATCTACACAGTCACCTAAATCTGAAATATAAGAGGAAATTTACATTTCACTTCTTTCCATATCTCATGAATGCCAAAATTTTGTCAATTCCACATTCTTAATGTCTCCACAGCTATCACTGCTTCTTAGTCCATCTTGTCATTGCTGCATTGGCTCATGCTCATATGTCACCTCACGTAAATCCCTTTTTTGCTTCCTTCCTTACTTGTAGAATAAGTAAGTCCTCAGAGAAGCATAGAAGACCCTGTGTCTTGGTACATTCTCTTATTCTTTTTTTTTCTTAAATTCTTTTATTGGTACATTTTCGGTATACAATACGTTTACATTTATCATTGGGTGCTTGTACCTGTACATGATGAATCTTGGTTCTTATTTTTTCCCCATTCCCTGTGCACCCTTCACCCCCTCCACCCTTTCCTATTTACAAAGACTTTGTTTCTGTTTTTCTCCTTTTCTTATAATTTTTCCTATCCCTTTCTCCTCCCACTTCCCCTACTCCTTTGAACCTTTTCTTCCTATTTCAAATTATCAATTATTCATTTTAATCCTTATTTACACTTTCAGTTTCTCACACCAGAGAAACTGTTCGGTATTTACACAATTGTGTCCTATTTATTTCACTTAAGAGGATGGCCTCAATATACATCCATTTAGCTATAAATGTCTCGTTTCTCGTTCTTTATGGCTGACACTCTCTTATTCTTAAATTCCTTTCCCTAAGTTCACCTCCACGCTTCTCATCCCCCCATGTTTCCCACAGTACTGGCAAGACCCGTACTTCTTTTCATTCCCCTGGAATGTCCTTCTTTTCCACAGTTTTCTTGAATGGCACCTACTCATTTTTTTTCAAGACACATCTCTATCATGAACTCCTTAGTAATAAAAACAAAAATAAAATAATTGCTAAGCTTTTGCTACCTCAAGTGCAGTCAGTCCCCTGAGAACCATCCTGGACAGCCCTTGGTGACTTGTTAGAAAGGCAGGACCTTGGATCTTTCCCCAGGGACACTGAACCAGCTCTTCATTTGAAAATGATTCTCAGTCATAGAATAATGTGCAGTTGAAGGCACATGAAAGTTTGAGAAATCCTGCTGTAGGAAGAAGTGGCTAAACCCACCTCCCTTATCATATACTTATTATGTGCCAACTACTATGCGTCTTCTCATTTAAACCTTACAACACTCCACTGAAAAAAATATTATCATCTACAACTTACAGTTGACAAAAGAAGCTCAATGTACAATTACATGGCCACAGAGTTGAAACCTAACCTAGTTCTGTGTGTGTAGTCTATGTTCTTTGCTCATTCCATGATACGCTCTAATATAATAGAACTTAAGTCATTTTCATGCCTACCTAGCTCTACCAGTGATGTGACACGGTTCTAGCACAGAGAAGTCTTACTAACTAAGCATTCTCTGTTCACGTGGATCGGCATCCTTATGGCAACCAGCAGTACTCTGCTCTAGCTTGAAGGCATGGTATAAATATCCCCAACTGTATGAGTAAGAGGGGGCTGCAACCAAACCTCCTGTTTTCCTGCTTCTTCTTTCAGGGAAGGTGGATGAAGAAGGTACCTCAGGAGGAATAAAAGGAAATGACTAAGGACCACACAGGGGCTTGTAGGAGGCTTTCCAGGTAGAGGGTATGAGCAAAAGACAAGGTCAGTTCTCTTGGGCTGACTGTGCGTTCTACTTCAGGTCAGGAAGCTGGAGTGTAGAGCACATCATTTTTAGCTGTGCGTAGTTGCTCTCAAAATTTAGTAACCCCCCCTTTGAAGTTTCTAGTCTCTGTCCAGGTACACTAAAGGAAAAGGGCTCTACCCACAACCAGGACAAAACCAGTGGTCCTCAGGTAAATGTGGACACAGGACACAAGAGAGGCTTGATGGAAACACAGGACAAAATCTGGCTGCTGCTGGCATCAAGACAAACAGAGCAGCACTTTTGGTGCAGCGCTCAAAACGGTTCATCTTTCGGTTTTGCTTCTGTCATGGAAACCAATGTTTGATAAAATATAAAGAAATAGAACATCAAATGGTGGGGGCTGGGGGTATGATCAAACTTCTTAATCCATTCTCCTGCCTGGAATTGCTTTCTGGGACACAGTGATAGACCCAGTCAGCAGTTTTGAATATTTTGGGTATCAACAAGAAGACAATTTTCTCTGTTTATAGATATTGGTATGGCTACTTTCTTCTTCAGTGTGCTTTGAAATTTGATCATGACTGAACTTTAAGAGTAGTGATTAAATCTCCCAGCAAGTCTTTTATAAGTGAGGTTTACATTTCTTCCCTCCTCAGCTTTCCGTTTTTATTACAAAGGCTTTCTCAGTTAACCGATAGAGACATCTATAATTGGCCCACCTAGGCTATCGGACCTTTGACCCCCTCCAGCAGAAATCCTCCATCAGTTTCATCCAGGACATTCTCCTTACTTGTCACTGAACACACAGTGCTTATTTGTTATCTGCTCCACTTGAAATTCTCTCTCCTACCTTGAGTGTTATTTCTGCTTCTCCCCTTTCCTCTTTCCATGTATTTTACTTCCACACTCCAGAGGAAACACCACCTCCTCTGTTATGCCTTATCCCCCAATTCCAGCCAATAGGCATCTCCTTTTCTGAGCTCTGATTCTATTAGCTGCTCTGTGTCTTAGCACTTAATCTCCTATAAACCATGCTAATAAAATGGATATGGTGCTCCTGGCTAAATTTATCAAGTCAGACTTGGCTGGACTTCCTTCTGGCCAGAGGAATGAAACAACTTGTGGTAACAATTCATCTAATAGAGTACAGTTTTCTGTTACTTAACCCACAGCAGACTGTGTGATTCTAAAGGGCAGGGACTCTGGTTTATTCTTCTCTACAGCCTCTGTGGTATCCCGCACAAGGCTATTCAACTAGAAGCAATCCTCAAATTTATTTGCAATCTCAGCACACTCTAGTCCAAACATTGTAGCGCAACTGAATGAATGTGTAGGTCAATGAAGTTCCCTATGATGCATAGAGAGGTCAGCATTTTCTTCTGTAACAGGAATTTTTATGTATGAACCTTCATGGTGTCCACACAGGATAAGTGTGATGGTGGCAACTGTGCCCCAATTGGGGATGGCAGAGAGTGCAAAACGATGAAGTCTAATCAGAGTAGGCACATGACTGCTTCTTTGCTTGGATTGCACCTTTATAATAATTATGGCTTGGGAAAACCCTAAATGGGTATGCTAATACCCCTGTCTTCGATGCCAGCTCTGATTTATGTGGACTTCCTGGAGTGCTCTGTTGAAAAGGATTTAAAAATAGTTTCTGGGATCAGTAGACCAGAACACCATAATTAACCAGCAATGTGGTAGACATAGTCTATGTGTCAGCCCTGACCTTGATAATATGAAGTAATAAAGAAGTTCACGACAGGTCTCTGCCCACAGAAACTTATGATCTGACTGGAAAAATAATATATTCATCATATAATTAGCGAACAAAATATTAGAATACTAAACTGTAGAACAGAGATGATGTTAAAGTAATATTTAAGGCTTAAAAGTTTGTGGCACAGTAATTACATAAATGCAAGGGGGAACATAGATGAACGTGGGCTGAAAGTGTCAGGAGAAGTCTACATAGGAGGTGAGCCGTAGTAGAGCTCTTCTCGGAGGAAGGAGGTTTAGACAGGTGCAGGGGAAGGAGAGAAATTGTGCTCTTCAAGGAGTGAGGGTGGTGTTAAACAAGAGTAAGAGAACTAATTGTGCCACCACTGAAGAACTACGTGAGGAGTGAAGAATCTGAGAGGATGATACTTTGCTATGCTGATTACTCTGACCAGAGGCACAGCCTGGAGGGCAGGCAGTGGCTCTCTCTGAGCTCCGGTTGTCTGCCTAAAAATGGGTTCTTCAAAAGCAGCTCATACCTTCTCTCCGCAGAAAGCTTATCACAGGAGAGAAGACTGGAGGTTGATAGGATGTCCACACAGACTGTCACCTATTTTTTTAGGCCAGCTCTGAGACAAGTGTTACTACCAGAGAGACTTTTATCTGCATAAAACAGCCTTTATTCACTGTATATTTCCTCCCCAACCCTTCCATAGCTTGTGCTTCTACCACCCCTAGAAACCTCATGCCATTGTTTCCATAACTCAGGATACTACCTATATTAGCTTGATTATCTGACCCTTCTCTGACTCTCACATTTAGTGAGAACCCTTTATATAAATACATAGTTGAAAATATGTTTCCCCTGTTGATCTCTCTTATGTCAATTTAGTTTGTAGCCTAGCCATGGAACCCTTTATTCTCCTATAGAAGTGACAGGAAAGGATGCCTTCAGGAAGAGGGTAACATTTGACAAGGGACAGAATAAGGAGACTCAGTTTATTTTACTGATTAGAAATAACTCCATTGATCTGGCATCCCAGGTTCACTAAAATGGAAAACAAAGTCAGAAACCCAGAGTCCTTTGCTTTTTGGCCTTGCCCAGGGTGCTATGCAGCTTGTGGTTGGTAGCTTCACCTGTAAGAAGGTAGAGCCACAGGAAGGGTCCAGACACTTGCAGAAAATGTGCAGTTACTCTTGTGCCTCTGGGAGCCCAAGGCAGACCAGTTCCCTGAGAGAAAGTTGGGTACAGAAAGCCATGAGAAGTGGACTAGAGATGAAGCAAGCAACAGAGTGCTCTTCCTACAGCCTGGTAAAAGTCTGAAGCCCATTCCAAGAAAGACATTAATAACTGGATACCCAGAGAGTTTTATTCTAAAAATATACATTTTATATTTTCACAAGTTGGATGCCATGGAAATACCCATAGGGACACATGATCTGTGTTTTCATATAGAAGCTATGAGACCTTGAGAATTTCAGTGCCCAGTAGATAACAGAATAGGTTGTAGAAGAGTCCTTAAATGTAGGCCCTAGTTCATACACAATTAAATGTGTACTACATATTGTCTCCTTTTTTTTTTTTTTTTATCAACAGGCAAGCACTTTATTGAATAGTTAAGAGCCTTTTCTCTGGAGTCAGACTGCCTGGGTTTGAATCCCATCTATGCTACTGCAAGACACCTGACTGCTCTGTGGTTCAGCTCCGCATCTGTGGATGGCACTACCCAGAGTTGCTGTAAGGCTTAAAATGGAAAACGCTCCCAATGAGGCTCACATATCGTAAGTACTAGAGTGTTAGCTATTATTTGTGATTAGATACAGCGAAGAAAGGCATAATTACATGTTTGCATATTGTATCTTTGAAAGCAGCTATTCCTTGATTGGAAACCATAGCATTAAATATTCTAAAAATAGCCTACAAGTTTGAAAATTCTCTAACTGAACACATCATGTTATTTATTTCCAAGATGTAGGAAGAGTTCAACAATAGAAACAGAAAGCTCTTTTGACAACATTCTCTGTTAAAATCAAAGTTCCATAATAGCCAAAAAATAAATAAATGAAATGCTACGTGTCACAAGATCAGGAAACATGGATTTTATCCCAGTTTTTCACTTTATTTTTTTAATACAGGGTCTTCTGATATTGCCAGGCTAGTTCCAAACTTGGAATTTTCCTACCTCAGCCTCACAGTAGCCAATTTTTCACTTTCGAATAGATGGTAAATGCAATAGCCCTGCTCTAGAACAACTACAGAGGGGAATTACCTTTCATTTTAAATTAATGTGCAATGACTACATTTGCCCCAGGAAAGTAGAAACAATATATTTCATTGCCCATTTTAGTTACCTAAGTCTTACCTAAATTCTACATAGAAGATCGTCATTTGTCTGTAAAAAGGGGGATGTTAAAAACCTGTCATACATTTATCAGAAAAGAACCAATTTCTTTAAGCCTTACATAAGGCACAATTCTAGCTAGCAGAGTAAAATTTCCCTTGCCAAAAACAATGAAAGACACATTGGAAAGGCTGCCATTTAAGGATAAATCATTAAGAGATTTTCAAGACGATTAACATATTTTCAACTTGATTCTCTGCCTCTGAACAGATGGATTTATGCTATGTAATATTTTAATATGACCTTTAATTAAATTACCCTAAGCAGGTGTTCGTTTTAAAATAAAGTTAATTAGCATTTTTATTCTAGCAATTTAGTCATGTAAAATGTACTCTTACCAGTTTGATTTCTTACTTTTGTTGAAGAAAACAGGAAAAGAACTTCCCAATAATTTAAGGGAAAGACTCAAGAGTGGACATTTATTTGTCATTTATGCAAAGTAAGTTGAAAACTTGAGTGCCTGGGTCTTGTGCTGGGCTTAGCAGAACCCAGGCCACTGACCAGCCAGCCACACTGGCTGTCTGGCTGTCGGGCTACTGTCCTCAAGCTTGCGTTCACCAGGTGGATGGAGTTTTGTGGACACAGCTTGTGTGTCTGGGAAGACTTACAGGAATGCTAGGCCCCTTTTACTCTTGTGTAGTCATTCTCTGAAGAGCAGCCCCGGTGGCAGAGTGGGACACAGGCCACTTGGAGCCCTGCTTTGTTCCCAGGACAGGGAATCCCCTTTGGTTGCGCTCTCTTCTGTCAGCTCCTTCAGCAGCTGCAAAGCAGTTGCTCCTTCTTTTGTTTACCTTTTTTCCTTCCTTCACCCCTGCCCCCTACCTTAAACATTTTTCTGAGGGAACTGTGATCCTTCGGGCTGTTTGACAAAGGCAACCTCTCAGGAGGTTCTACAAAATATGCAAAAAAGGATATCATTCATTCTTTTTGGTTTAATTTTCACCTTCAGAATTTGAAACTACTAATCTATAAATCATTTGTGACGGAAATTTAAAGAACATCTATTTTCTGTATATTTGCAAGCTCATTAGGGAAAGGAGGAAGAATATAAAGCAGCAAGAAGGAATCATAAAGACAAATACAAATAAAAAATCATTAAGTATACTACACTGAAAACAGCAGCAGCAGCATGCCTGAGTTCACGTGTGTGTTTATATGTGCACCATGGGTCAGATGATGTCATCCAGTCTCAAAAGCTGCATAAAATAAAAACCTGATGTAACCTATTTAATCAATCGGGAAGTATAAATCTTCCCCATGTTCATGGAGCACTGATATTGCACTCTATTTAAGAGAGAGTTTGTAGGACTATGGATTTTAGATAACCAACCAAGGATCAGTCAACTGGTTGCTTGGGCCCATCAGTTCTGCCTCGTTCCTTGGTCAAATGTGGACAAACATGGCTGTAGGGATATAATGTATCTTCTTTCTCTGGAAGTGGCCATTTTAGGAATGCTCTTCCATACTTGCTGTAGCTATCTGATGGGAGTACAAGAAGCAGACTTTGTCTCTAAAGAGCATGTTGCATGACCCTTGGTGTCACATGAAGGCAGATCCTGAGGATGAATGCAATGATGGGTGTGTCAAGGCATTTGTGGTGTGTAGGATGATTCTGCACTACTGTACAATGGCCCACTGAGGTGGTTCTTCTACTGAGTTGCCCCCTCTTCCTCCATGCTCCCTCCTGTCTATTTTGCTGTCAACTTGTTCTTGCATGCAATTAGCCTGTGATAATGGTGGCAGTGGATGAATGGCTTAGAAAAGTCCTGGCAAAGTTTATTTCATCATAAAGGAAAACACTTGATAATGGGAAAAATCTTCCCTACTTTTTGAGAGGGAAGAAAATCAGTCAGTCAGTAACCAAAGAACATCTGCTTTGCACCTGCCTTGTGCTTGACCCTGTGGGAGGCACCATGGGTTACAAAAAGGGGAAGGTCCAGCCCTGCCATGGGACATGTAACATACATGTGGATAAGCACCCTCAGTGAAGTGATCACAGGCAGTCCAGGGCCACATGAGGGAAATGCAAACAGTACAGGCCCTAAGTGCCAAAGGAGTGGTGACTAAATGATGGGTTCCCACAGCTGCTTAATGCAATGAGTTCAGAATAGGGATCAACTGATTATCATCGCAGCAGAAAAAAAAAAAAGCAAAACCATAACTTAAACAACATTCCATGGACACTAGAAAGAAAATACAGAGCACTACAGGGAGGGTAACGACTCTCTATTTCATTAATATTAAAGTTTCAATAAGAATCATTTTTCTCCTTTTCTTTTATTTATTTATTTGGTACCGGGGATCAAACTTGGGACCTTGCACTTGCAAGGCAGGTGCCGGAACCACTGAGCTAAATCCCCGGACCTCCTTTTCTTTTAAAGTAGAATTATTTTAACTATTTCTATAGACTGAACTCATAGAGGCACTGAAACATAGAGGAAAAGAAATAATGGGGTTAAAACTTCAATATGAAATCTATTAAATAAAGAAGATTCTTTTATGAAAGGCTTCTAAAGTTGTCTTACATTTCTTAAATCAATCTATAGCACATAATCAGTAAAACCATATCATTTAAACAGAAAGATCATAACTTAGAAACTCACCCTTAGGCAGCTGTATCCTATTATGGGCTGTAACTTAACACATGAGTTTCAGAAGTTGTTAAAATTGAGTTCAGGCTAACAAATCTTAGCTGTTAAAAAAAAAAGCCTCTACTGAGATGAGACAGCAGTCCATGAAGAGGTCCCAGAGCGATCTCACAGGATGGATGTCTATCATCTTTTATCTTGGCCCGTTAGATATTATTTGTATATGACAAGCAAATATATTAGGACAGATTTGGTCCTTAAGTGACGAAGGAGCCACATATATAATATTTTTTCCATTTCGAAAAGTTTTCCTCTGGGGCTGAGACATTCAGTATTTAAACTCTGTCAAATGAATATTTATTGATAAAAGAAGAGAATAGCCCTTTTGGCCCCGGTAGCTGAACTGATATCTACATTTTTTCTTAGTATAAAATCAAATAAAAATAGTTGTATCTTGTATTAAATAAGCGAAAGTTGGCATTTGAATAGGCTTTCATGAAACAAACATTCCCAGCTTAAAGCTACAGTTACAGGGTTTAAGGTACTGTAATTAAGATGCAGTCGTTATTATAAAATGAGGTAGCAAATTGGAGTTTGTTTTTGTTTCTAGACTATACTCTTCCAGGCACAATTTTTTTGGTGGGATGCAGTGCAGTACATGTAGGGATTTTACTGCACAAGGAATTTCATCCCTTTCATCCTACCCCATTCCTTTGTGAAATGTGAAAACAATAAATGTATCATCAACTTTATAGATTTCAAGTAACTACAGTAAAAACCATGGGATGAAAAAATACTTGACTCTTGAGGATTTTTGCTCTCTCACACAGCACATAGGCAGATTCAAGATTACTAAGATGTTTTTAATAGTCCTATCATTTGGTCCAATTTTTCCAAAGGATAGAAATGTACTCTTTGAAGTAAAGCATTCACCTGTCTGATATAAATAAAACCTTTCATGCAGAAAAATGTTTCCCCAAATAAAAGGGTTAATGTATTTCAAATATGTGAGAAACTTGCTTCCGGTTGAGCAACATTAATAAAGGTTTTACCTAACCTTTTCATTATAAAATTTGGTAAAAATATTAGTGTAAGCTAAGTAGGGCAGTTCTAAAGTCAGTGTTAGAAACCAACTCATTTTTGTGGTTGTGATGACAATTATGAACTTTTAAACAATCTTTTTTAGAAAGTGTGCCTGGATTTTGGTGCCCAGTCAGTGAAAGTGTTTTCTCCCCATAGGCAAGTTTGACATTCACAAGTCTTACATCTTATCTCAGTTGGCAAATGGTTTCTTGCTGAAAAGAAGCTGCAGTTTCCCCTAACTTAGGTATAAGGAAGTGTACCCCCAACAGATGTCAATATAAACTTTTCCCTAACACACCATAAGAACATAAACTTCTAGAACTAATCCACTATCATGGTTAGTTAGCTTCAGTGGTTACTTCTTGCCTGCATGTTAGCAAGACCCAACCTCCCTCCTCTGCCTGCCCCTGATTTCCAGGGTGCATGCTTACTGGACTGCCTTTACATAAGTTGTTTCCTCTCCTCAAAAACACCCTTCCCCTCTCCACTTCCCATCACATTTCTGCTTGGATGTGACTACTGAACAGGCTTCCTCCAGATACCCCGAGGTGGTGTCTAGAGAGGACTGGGGAAGCAGAATTTGTATCCTGCCTTCCTCCTTTACTAGCTGTGTGACTTTGGCAAATCATCTTGGCCTCCATGGCCTCCCTCTCCTATAAAGTACAGTGGTACCTACATTACAGGCTTGCTGTGAGGAATGTTTCTAGCCCAGTGCCTGCCACAGATAAGGCCTTGATATCCTAGTGTTACTGTTAAATAGAAGAAAGTGTCTAAGGATGGAAGCTAAGCTTATGATGCTCTTGTAATTTGAAAAGCTAACATGTACACGAGGATCTGAAAGCCCAGCCATCTTGAAATCATGTTTTCTTTTGAGAAAGTATGTGTCAAGCAGTGGCAAACAAGCAGCAGGTTCACACACCACTTCAAAAGAGTGTACAGGGCTGCTTTTATGACAACTCATCTTTGGTTGTAATGCATGAAAACTGAATGAAACGAAATTGAATATTGCACAAAGCTGAGAATAGAAGGCAGCATGGAGATATGCATAGAGATTTTGTCTGGTACCATGGAACTAGCCAGTGCTACTTGTTACAAAGCACAGACATTTATGTAGTGGAGAGTTGTCCAGTGTCAGCCTAGATAAGCAAACTTCAAAGGAGAGCCCACCTTCTTTAAAACCTCTTTTCATTATTTTTTCATTTGAAATGTGAAATAGAGGACTAAAGAAAAATACTGTTATGGAATTCATTTCTATTCAGAAAAGAAAATTTAAAAAACAAATCACAACTATTGTCAGATGAATACCTTGTCTAAAATAAAATGATACATTTAACATTACAAAATGTAAAGTGCTATTTGACAGTCCTTTCTGACAAAAGCATTTGAAGTTTATTTCTTTAAATGAACATAACATTCCTATGTCCACCTGTCTCTGACCAGAAAACTCTCTAGGGACTTTTTCTGACCAACTAAGAGAAAATTCAGTTACCATTGCGGGGTTTTAAGCAGATTAAAAGCCAAATGGGAGCAACAAATGAATCAAATGACCATTTATGCTTCCTGCATTATGTGCATCCAAAAAGTGAAGACTAAATGCTGCCTTTGCACTCACATAAGAGAAATTTAGCAAAAGCCCGAAAGTCTGCCCTTTCTCCTCCTTTGCCTTCTCCTCCTCCTCCTCGTCCTCCTCGTCCTCCCCCACCTCCTCCTTCTAATGCTCCTTTGTTCAACTAGGCTGGGTTTTAAAAACTCTAGGATCAGCTTTTCATCTTGCAGGAAAGCAAGGTAGCAATCTTTCTTAAGTAATTGGCAGTGATGTGCTCAAGAGCTCAGTCCTTCTGGCAGAAAGACCCAGGAGGGGGTGGTCGTGGGGAGGAGTCACGAGTGCGTAGGAGGAGAGGGGGCCTCTCAGAACCTGCCGTTCCAAGCCCGTGGCAGCGGGAGCGTGGTGGCAGCAACCTGTGGGTGTGCCAAAGAGGCCCACGTGCCAGGCTCTGGCATACGGAGCACCACGGGTTGCCAAGGCGCAGCTGAGCCCTCAGACTTTTGATGTTCGCCCTGGAAAGTTAGTAAACCCTTTCCCACTTATTGCACAAGGATGGTGAGTCTTTGGATGTGTTTCAATGTTATGAAAACTCCTGGTAGAGAAATTTGCCATTTAACTTACTTTCATTTATTCATTTTTCAGATTAGAAAAGCCACAGGGGAAAGGAACAGCAGTTTAAAATTCACAGCAGTTAAATGAGGCAAGTAGGTGCAGAGTGGCAGTCCAGGGTAAGTCCACGGTGCTGTGTGGTCAAATTCAGGTTCTATGTTAATGAGAGAAATATATAAAATGGGACAAATTTTTTGTTTTTCCATATGAAAGAATGCCTGAAAAGGCCTGGGTGACAGAACTTCATGTATGTTTTATTATTTTCCTCTTTAAAAACTCTATTCTCTCTTCTAAATTGTACACAATTGCTGAAATTTAGTTCAGCTGAAAAAATGGGCCAGACAGTTTCAGATTTAAACTTCGTAAGTTTACAGGGAGCTCACAGAAAAATCTTCCCTCTAGTTCTTTTTACTGCATCTACTCTCCAAACTCACAGCCTATGTCCCCCGGTCCTATACAATTTATCCAAAGCCTTGGGCAGCCCACAAGCCCTTTTATCTTTCACTAGGAATTCAGCGCTATTGTAGGAGAGAGACATTCTTTCCTTCTCCTTTCACTTAAAGAAACATACCAAGCCTGAATAGACTCCAGGCTAGGCTAGGGGATAGAGTGATTTTTATTAGCTCTAACATAGCTATTGACAAATGCTTGAAGACAATATTTAAAAAAAGAAGAAGAAAGAAAGAAAAAGCTTTCACTTTATGCCTTAGAGGGCAGATTGGTTACAATTTAATTTCTAAGAGGAAAAATTTATAGAAGTGGCCCAGCATTTCTCTTTCTTCATCATACATATGAGAAGTATAAAGTAAAAGGACATCTGGAAAGGAATGTTATTCAGCAATCAGAAAGAAAAAAATCCAAACCATTGATGTTCTGATGGAGACAAACATAACTAGATTCACGAGGAGGAAAGCTGTAACCGATTGAAGCTTAAAAAAAAATTCCATATGCATTTTACCTTTTGGGCAGTTCCAAAGCAAAGTTCTATTTCAGAAGTCCTTTGTAATATGAAACCCACTGTAGATAAGATACAACGTGAAGATAGTCTGCTTTGCAGCAGCAGGAAATCAAATTGGTTCCAGAAACGAAGTTATATGACAAATGGTTTAATAGTATTGCTAGAATTGGAAAGCTTGATTGAATTCTTTTTCATAATCATTTAAAAAAAGATTTTCAAATAAGTTTGCTATAACAAAAGGGTATAGGGGGTGGGGAGCATTATTGGGATTGGGACCATCTCATGTTATTGGTCTTTTAACTCGAGTGTTATAATAATTTGTTTTCAAAATTTAAGAGCTCAGTGGTGATTTACTATTAAATTTTGTTTGCAACAAAAATTTCAGATAAATACAATACTTGATTTGCCATAATGAGTATATATTGTGGAGGATTAAAGAGGTTAACAAATGGAGATATATTTTATTATCATTTCCAAGTTATTTTTAGTTTTGATCTCAGTTCCAGTTAGCCTGGCTTTCTTTAAAAATCATCTGGAAAAGTTCATTAAAACTTGGCGGGTTTTCGATTTTAGAAGGGAGTTCTGAACAGCAAGATGTGTCACTGTGAAATAACCCAGCGTCTCATGCCTGTAGGTGAAATGAAATCATTTTTCTGACTGAAGTCAGGAACAAGTTAAATATCATTTAGACCACAGCACACGACTACAGAGATTTAGAAGAAATCGTACTTAAATAGGATGTAACTAGACAAGACCATTTTCTAAAAAGTCAAAAAACTTTTTCCCCCTTCATTACTTACAGTCTTTGAAGACTACAGCCGGGTCTCTGTGAGGCAAGACTTGGGCAATGATGTGTCTCAGAGATTCCAAGGTTCTGTCCATCTCCGATCTGCCTGTGTGTGCCTGCTGCACAGAGTGTCCTCATGCCTGAATTCTTGCAGTCCTGGACTGAATTTGTGCAGCTCATTGATGCACTGGATTACCAAAGAATCCCTTTTAACATCTGCCAATCAGACATTTCCCAGAATCTAAAGACCCCTCAGGGGGCCCTCCTTGCAGGCTCACTTATCTTTGTTGTAGGCTGAGCTAATTAGCTCGAAAGGCTGGCTGACAGGCGGGTTCCCATTGCTTCCTTCTGTTAAACACACCCACCTACAGGCTAGCTGGGGAAGCTCACTAATCATGGGAACAGATTTTCTCTCCAACCAGATTTTGCCTGAATGCTAGGCAGCTTTTTCACTTGCATATTTTCTGTTCTCCATGTTCAACGGTGCTGCACCAAGAATATAGAATCAAGACACTTATTTATCAAGAAAATTTCCTCAGTAATATTGGAACAGCACAGGACTACCAGCAATATGTGATCATTAAAATCAACATAATCTAAGTTCTCCTTTGGTAAAGGAGTATTACAAAGATTGTGGTTGTGGCCAGATTGTGTTTTGTATCTAATTTCATGGGCATCTCTTCTGGAAGCCACAGCTTAGTCCCCCCCTTCCCACTTCTACTCAAAATATTGTCACTTCTGATGGGCAGTGGCAGCAAAACCTAGTGGACTGTCTTACAGCTTGCCTGGGAACATTTGTTTCTCTGTTTATCCTTCAAAGCAAATCATTTCCAGGGTTGACTTTAATTAATTCTGATATCATTCACTTCATTTCATGATAATTCTTTCTGTTAAAAATTTCAGAAGCAAAATATATTTTTCAGAGAATAAAAGTAGTCATTAAAGGTCTTAGGAAACAGACATTCTTTTTTTTTCTCTATGATCTGTAATTTTTTAAATGATCTTTTGACAGGAGGCATAAATAAGTCATGTGACTTCAATAATGAGGAATTATAGCAGATATAAAATAACTGATTTTAATGATTGCAAGTTATATTATTTGTTGAAGAGTTGTGGTGGACTTTTACATTTTTGTTAAACATATCTGTACATGACAGCCAGGCATGATGGCACACACCTGTTATCTCAACACTCTAGAAGGCTAAGGCAGGAAGATTGCAAGTTTGAGCCCAGACTGTCTCAAGATTAAAAAAACAGGAAAAGACACCTCACTCCAGAAAGAATGGCTGCTATCAAGCAATCAACCAATAACAAATGTTGGCAGGGCTGTGGGGAGAAAGGAACCCTTCTCCATTGTTGGTGGGAGGGCAGACTGGTGCAACCACTGTGGAAATAAATATGGAGATACCTCAAAGAACTAGGATTAGAGGTCTCATTTGACCCAGCTATCCCTCTGCTGGGTATCTTTCCAAAAGAAGTAAAAGAATCATACCACAGTGATACATGCACAACCATGTTTATAGCAGCACAGTTTGTAATAGCTAAAGCTTGGAAATAGCCCAAATGGCCATCAGTTGGAGACTGGATAAAGAAGATGTGGTTTTTCTATAAAATGGAGTACTACTCAGCCATAAAGAATGAGAAACTAGAGTCATTTATAGCTAAATGGATGCATATTGAGGCCATCCTCTTAAGTGAAATAAATAGGACACACATGTAAATACTGAATAGTTTCTCTGGCGTGAAATACTAAAAGTGTAAATAAGGCTCAAATGATATAATTGATAATGTGAAATAGGAAGAAAAGGTCTAAAGGAGTAGGGGAAGTGGGAGGGGTAGGGGAAAGAAAGAAGGGAAAAGAAAAAAATATGAGAAAAGGAAAAAATGGAAACAAAGTCTCTGTAAATAGTGGAGGGTGGAGGGGTGTAGGGAGGGCAGGGAAATGGGGAGAAATAAGAACCAAGATGCACCATGTACAGGTACAAGATCCCAACGATGAATGTGACTGTATTGTATGCCTAAAATGTAGCAATGAACTTAATGGGGAAAAATAGGAAAAGCATTGGGCATGTGGCTCAATGCCGAAGCCATGAGTTCAATCAACAGTACCCTGCCCCAAATTCCACAGTAGGCACAAGAAATTGTTTTCCAATGTTTCAGATTCCACCGTTGTTTTATGTGAATGTGTGTGTGTGTGTGCGCGCGCGCGCGCGCGCACGCACGTTTCTTCCTGGATATTAAACCCAGGGCTGTTGCACTGAGCTACAAACTTCACTTTGAGACAAAGTTTTGCTGAGTTGCCCAGGTTGGGCTCAAACTTGTAATCCTCAGCCTTCCAGATTGCTGGGATTATAGATGCATGCCACCATGCACTGTTCTATGCTGCATTTTAGGATCAACTGAAACAAGTCCTTTAAGAACCAATAGGAAAATGAAATACCTTCCATAAGATGCATTTCTTCAGGTACTTGGTAGAAGGGTAGGCTTAATAAAAAAGGACTGGGGCTGTAGTAACTAGTTCTTATAAAAATGATTATTGCCGGCAGAGGCCTGTAGTAAGTGCAGACCACACAAAACAAATATAGGGCTGGATCAGGGTAGACAGACATTGATTGAGTATGAATGTGTATATATATATATATAGCAATGTATGATTTCAAGCAGTAAATAGGCATTTCTATGGGCTTAAATGGAATTCTAGTACTACTTATAAATATTTTGGTTCCCTAATGTGGTGGAAGGAACAATGACTTTGGGATTGACAAGATTTAGGGTTTGATTTTGTTATCTGGATAGCCTTGACAAGCCACTCATCTCTGGGCTCACAGTTCTTATTCATGAGTTAAACTGGATGTGTCTTTTGGTTCTAGCATGTATGATTCTATGAGTACTGATATTATAAGAACAGATTTTCCAGTTTTCTGGAGTCATTCATTTATTTTTTAAAAGCGAGATTGCTTTTGAAACAGAACCCTTCTATTCTTACAGCTGACCTTGCATCTATTGATCACTCTGAGAGACAAATCAATATGATGAATTCAAAGATTCTCACTGGTGATGCCAACTACAGTGAAAGGTAAGAATTTATGAAGAAAACTAATCTTTATAAGATTTTTCTAAAGAAAGCAAAACTATGAGCATCTTCATAGAGCTCTGAAACAGCTTGCCAGAGAAGTTTATATAAATTTGTGATCTTTAACAACTTACATTTAATAAAAACCGGAATTTTAACAAAGATCGATTATACAATTTTCCAGTTAGATAGCATAGTTCCTTCATTAAAACCAATCTTTCAATTAAAAATTTTCTTAAATCTTTGCTTATGCATTTCTTCCTTGAATGTTCATAAGGATTTCTTACCTTTAAGTGCTGTTATAAGGCAATCAGAAAAAAAAATACTTTTTTTTTACTATTCTCTTTCTTTGATATAAAAAGCAACTGAAGGAAATGGAAGAGCCCGAGAAAACCATATTTTAATACAGATTCCACTGTAAACATCAACCATGTGAAGGTGTACACCAAAGACAGAAAGTATTAAAACAAGGGTAGACATCTATGGTTAACCCAAAATGATGTTCTTACAAATTCTCTTAGAGTACTAACTCAAAGGACGAAAAAGGGCATCCACCTAACATCAAACTGATCAAAACTTACCACCCAGTGATAACGAAGGAAGGCTCAATGCAGCACCATGCCTACCAAGCTTCCAGAGAGTCCAGAATTATTTGAGAAGATGAAAAGTTAAGGTGGTACACATTGCACTATTTCATCCAGTGCAACAGTAAAAGTATTTGGAGGCAATTTTGTTGGTAACAAAATTTCATTCCTGTCATTCAGTAACATGTTTGTTTTCTTACAGCTCCTTACAGTTATACATATGGTAAGAAATAGGGAGCCACCAAGAAAGCATAATAGATACATTTAAAAAATCACCTTTAAAAGAAGAAGGACTCCCCTGGTCATGCCATAATGTGCTCCACTCTTGAAACCAAAGTTGGCAAGGCAGGAGAATGGGCCTGGATCCTGCAGTTGAGGTTGGTAAGACCCCAAATCTCAAAAGATTTGAGGTCAAGGCCTGTAGCCCCCAAGAACAGGCTTGCAGCAACTGAGCCTGAGCTGACTGACACTTCTCATCCCTAAGTCCTAAGTCAGGGATGAGACTGAGGGAGGACCCCGACTGAGATTTCAGAAGATTATCTTCTTGGAAATAATTTCTTCACATATTTATGCCTTCTTAAATACTCATGATTTAAGATAAAATAGATGAAATGAAAGGAATTAAAGTCATACAGATAAAAATGTTAGTATAGAGAGTAAATAATTTATAGAAACAATGGGGAATGACTGACAGGACCTCTGTTCAGATTTTATGAGAAATGGATGGAAGGAACTGGAGGGGCTAAGTGTGGCATTGGCAAAAGAGGGTCTAAGCTGTGATCCAGAATGTTTCAAAGGGTGTGGGGGAGGGGAAGCAGAAGGAGAAGCACCTGGAAAACGCTGACTTTGCAGAAGGAATGACTAATGACTGTTTTGTGTCAGCTTTATTTAGCCTCAACTAGAAAGAGACCAGTAGGAGGAATGAATGGCTGGTTAGCATCAACTTTGTTTACTATCAACTGGGAAGAAACAAGATAAAGGGATGAGTGAGTTAAAGTGAACAAGTTAAAGCATTCATTTATTTATTGTCTACAGGGAAGGAACCAATGAGATATTTAAGATATTTAAGAGTGGGTCAGCTGGAAAGACAACTATAGAGAATTTCTATACAAAAGTTTAAAAACAAAAGTAATAGAACTTTATCCTAGGATTTTGCTCATTTATATTTCACCACATTTAGAAAATCATCAATAAGAAGTAATCTAAAAAAGAAGGATTCTGTTGAAATACATGAAAAATAATTAGAGAAATGATTAATAGCCCATCTATAAATTAAGGGACTGTACCTTTCTTGATTTTAATAGAAAACTGTGAAAAAAGCAAGAGTAAATGGCCCCTTATCTTTGCCAGAGCACAGTCAAAGCTCAAAACCAGAAAACACAATGAAAATATGCCTCTCTTTCACCTAACTCTTCTGATTGGCATATAATGGCATACATGGCGTATGTTTGTGGCCCTTGCATAAATGCATCTTATCTTGATGGTCTTAGGTAATAAATTATCCAACCCCGCCTTGATTCTTCAGGAAGTTCTGTGAGGGCCACAGATATCATTGGGGGAGGTTTTGCCTGTTCACACAATGGGAAATGACTGACAGGAACTCCTTCCAGATTCTTTGGCAGATGGGTGGATGGAACTGAAGGGGCTAAACATGGAATTGACAAAGAAGGGTCAAAGCTTTGTTCAAGAGCATTTCTGAGGGTGTGGGAGAGAAAGATAAATTCAGAATTACTTACAGCTGGGAGAATTTGGATGTTCTAATTTATAAGGTTGGAGATAATGATGTCAAGGCCTTTAGTCATTAGATATGTGTTCATGAAAACTGAACTGATACTGTAACTATAGTTGGCTGACTTCCAGCATAATATATATTTTGAAAGGGATTGTTTTTAAGCCTTTGGCTTGAATTTGGGGTGGATTTTGCCAGTGGCTTTTATAACAATATTTTCTTTCGTAAAAGTTACTCTAATTGTTTGTCCGTCTCATTCTATTGTTTCAGACATCCCCCTCCAGAATGGCAATTTATATTGTTGGCTGCTCCGATAAAAACTTTACACAAGTTGTGGCTATGAAGTGATCAGATTGAGCCTAAAAGAAGCATCTGTACTCCAGCGGAGTCTCTGGGCCGTTCCTCGAATGAAGACGATGAGGTCTGCTATAAGAGTGTGCTAGGATTGAGACACAATTGCTTACTGCTTAAAAGAGCTGCCTTTTTTATTCTTTAAAAAAATCACATTCTGGAGGTATGAGTCATATAGAATGCTTGAGTCTTTGCAGAAATAATGAGCATATTAAAATGAATATATAGACTAAGAAAAATGTATTAGGTTAAAACAAACCTAGGGAGAATGTTTATTGGTTATAAACAAATGACTTAAACCTGAGATTAGTTGATGATGTTAGATTCCAGCAACCAGTAATTTCACAAATCCATATATTTCAGATGAAGCTTCCTGTAAAGAGTGCATCATCAGTGTACTCTTAATTCAATTCCAGCTACATTTATGGATATGTTTACATTAAGATAAAAGCCTGTGCCCATCCATTTCACACTGTAAACTATAATTTCCACTTCACTTCCTATGCAGTCTCAATGAGAGCTCTGTACTTAGTGTGCATTCTGCTGACAAAAAAGAAACATTATTTCTTTCTAAAATTTGTTTAAAGAAGGAGGAATGGGAAACTACATGGCAAGGAGACCTATTTTTGCATGAACTTGAAACTGGAGAAAGACCAAGTTATAGAATAATAAATTCTGATTCTCTCAAAGTACCTCTGTGGCCTTGAGCTCAAGGAGAAAGTACACTTTCAACACTGCCTCCTCCTTAAAAAATACCCATAAATATTCCTACCAAGGGCTTTAGTCTACTGAGATTGGATTTCTTGGATGTGTAATCGGTAGTTTTACTATAGAAGAAAACTTTCTTTCCTAAAAAGTGAGGAAAGCTTGTGGAAATCTGGTTGTAAGGACTGTCTCTTCTCATACCCCCAGAGTATCAGGAGGACAGGTCCAATTTTGTGGGACTTAGTGGCTTTGCAGGAGAGACCTCCAGCACTCTAAACTGCTTAAATATGTTAGCTTTCCTGCCATTCACCTTTTCATTAGTTCAGTTCCATCTTTCCCTTCTGTATCCCAAACTTATTCACTGTAACTTTGGGCAAGTAATTTCACATCTAAAGATGTTTTCTCCTCTGTTTAATACAAACAAACTTATAGAGAATCTCAGTAATTAGAATAATAAAAGATTCCAATACAGACTCTCTCTACCTTAATACTTAGGCTACTGACTAGGCAACCTTTTAGATTCTAGTCATTCCCTCCAATCCATTCTACAACTGATAAATTTCCTAAGATTAGCTCCCCTCTTGACTCTTTAAAATCAACTTAAAAATTTTAAAGTAATTACCTTTAATTTGGTCCTTTGCTACATAAGACCCTTGCCCCAACTACAGGACAGCAAGCATACTATACTCATTTCTGTTTTCTAGATTTTCTGCATGCTTTCCTCCTTCGCAGGGTACTTCTTTTTCAGTCTACCTAGTCTACCAAATCCCCTTTCAACATAATGACTCCCCTAATAACACTGGCCTTTTAGGCTACCTTTGGAATTTCCTCAGCAGCAATCAGTGCTAGCAGGCTGTTAGGTAGAATTTACTTCGTATTGCCAAGTAGTTGTGTCACAGCTACCGTGGTGCAAATTGAGCATGTCTCACTAAGTTGAAGAATAAAATTGTGGACAAAAAGGAGGAAGTTAGAGGAGTGTTTAATAGAAGCAAGAAGAAAGATAGCTCCTGGTGGTAGTGCAGGGGTCCTGAAAGTGACATTCTGGAGTGTTTTCTTTGTTTTGGTCTTATGTGGATAAATAGAAGTGGGCACTTGTTTAGTTACCTAGTTTAGTTACCTACCATAGATAGCTCTGTGCGTTTAGAATAACCAGTTGGGGTTTAGGCTTCATAATGTAGAATGTAAAGAAAATGAGCTACTGAGTTCAAAGGAAACAGGTTATTCTGCATTTCTGTTTCTTAAAGTCAGCCCAGATGTAGGGAGGAATTGTTAACTAAGCATATTCTATCTAAGCACTTTTCTTTCCTGAGAGTTAGGTTCTTAGCTCTTTATCCCTTTTCCTGTGTTTGCATTTACATTTCTAAGTTTAACTGACTGTATGGCTTGAATTAGCTCTTAACTCCAAGTACATGTTATTTCCTTTGTAACCAGCCGACTGTATCTTAGGCTGGCTATGTATAAGCCAGTAAACTAAACAGTCTTTTACAGTTGTTCTGTGGATTTATTCCTACCTTTCCAAATACCATGGAGACTTTCAGTCGGTAAAAATTGCACCTTAAAAGCCGCTGTTTTTGTATGAGGAGGTATGAAATGAAAAAATCCTGTGTATTCTTTCCCCTGATAACTTTACATACTACCAAAGAGTTGGAAAACTGATGAGTGAGCAATACGTATTTTTCTTCTTAGTCTAGGCTAAGTTTTTGTCAACAGCAGGATTATAGCAAGCAGGGTTTGTCTTGTTCTTAATTTTTACTTCATTTATTTAAAGCAGTTGATTACAAAAATGTAACCCCCCCCCTTTTTTAAAAAGGAAACATGTCGTGATAAATGTCTCAATTACCTCAAGGAATGGAACCTGTACTTATTTGATTCTAAATGTATATAAAGTGTTAACTTTGTCTCTTGTGCATGAGTTTGCACCGTTTCTCTGAGGCGATGTGTACTTTTGCTTTTACTCTTTTCCTCTTTGTTCACCCCAAGTTTGTTCTTCAAAACTGGTTTCTCCCATACTTGTTTACCCCACTTTCCAAATAAACTTCTGGCACTGTTAAACAAACAAAAATAAAAATAAAGTGTTAATTTTAATGTCATCCTTATTTACATTAAGGTAAAAAAGAAAAGCTTAGCCTAATAACACGTAAGTCTTGGCACATATTTTCTTTAAGAGTTGTACATCTTGGGGTGATGCCCACACTACTGGTTACATACGCAATGCACAGTTGTTATGAACTTCTATCATCGCCAGTCTCCTTACACAGTGATGTATGGTGACTCCAGTACTTTAGAAAGCAAGCCAGTGGCAAACTAAGATACAGCCTGATGTTCTCTAGATGGTCTGTAGCTAGATGAAGAACATGGATGGTGACCCTTTGCCTACCCAGAGTACTGATTATGCAATAGTGAAATAATCCTATCCCTCAGGAAGAGCTCTACCTGAAAACCTAATGAACTCATTTCTCTGTTCTTTTTGAGTGAGATAAACCTGGAGGGCAGCATCAATAGGGCTCTTTAATTGGGCAGAGGTGGGTCACTCTGGCCATGACCTGGGAGGGGGTGTATCTCCCTTCCTGGCTCCTCTATTAAACTCTGCTTCCTGGTTGCCATAAATTGAATAGCTTTCTTCCTCCATGGCAGGCCCTTCACCATATTGCTTCTGCCTTGGAGACAGTTGACAGTGGATGGAAACCTCAATAAACTGTGAGCCACAATAAACCTCTTCTCAAATTGAAGGTGTTGGGTATTGTGTCTCGGCAACAAGGAAAGTGACTAAGACTGTGGAAACTTCTTTTTCATAACCTTAAGAAGTGATGTCACTTTACTAAACATATAGCATATATCAGACACTACACTTCATTTACTCTTCACAACAAGCCTATACGTACTGTGCAATGTCCCCATTTTACAAACTGGAGAAATGAGGTTAGAGAAGCTACAGAAGATACATGAGGATTAAGTGGTTAAACCAGAATTCAAATTTAGAACTCCTGGACTAATATATATGATATATAAATATATATTATATATCATATATATATAGTTTTGAGGCATTATGGATGAAACCTAGGGCCCTGTGCACTCTAGGCAAACACTCTGAGCTATATCCTCAAGCCCAAGTCAGCCCCCATGGGTTTAAAATCACAATATACAGCTTTGATACATTAAGATTAGACTTAAATTTTCTTTTTGCTCATAGTTCACTGTGGATATTTTAGGGTTTTTTTTTTTGGTACTAGGGATCGAACTCGGGACCTTGCGTTTGCAAGGCAGGTGGCAGAACCACTGAGCTAAATCCCCAGCCCACTATAGATATTTTAAAATGTGAGGGTTGTCTCATAGGGCAAATACTCTAACTTCTCATTATTACTCCAAAGCATCTTTTCAAATAACTGCTGTGATCAGACCCTAGTTTTCAAACACAACATAAATCAGAAGAAATTAAATTCTTAAACATTAAATTCTTAAAGTTAATACTAAATCCTCAGTAGCTAGAACTAATCTTTGTCCAAACAAGGCCTCCATTTTGATCTAAATTTGTTTTGTGGCACTCATGAAATAGCAAGCTATTTAGACTAACACCCATGCATATTTGCCTTTTAAGTCTCTCAAATAGCAACAAGCTTTTTATGTAGTAGGTACCCACAAGTTGACTCAGTCAACTGAGTGAAGTCAAGTAGGATGAGATCATAATCATTTTATTTCCAATTTGCTTTCAACATTTCTGAATATAAGAAAATATATTCCAAAATAAACATTCTGTGGTTCAATTAAGCATTTAAAATGTTACTTTAGGTTATAAAATGCTCACAATATAAAAATGAATATCTGAACTTAAAAGCATATCTAAAATTCAAAGTAGGTCTTTATCTATATAAACACTTCCAAAAGTCTAATTTTTCATAGAAACTGAATCTGACTTTCTTGTATCTATACAGTCAAGTGAATTTATTATATAATTATAATACAAATAGCCAATAGAATTTAGCAAAGGTGAAAGAGAAGCTAGTATCTTTATTGATCTTGGAAAACCATTTACAATATTACCTCTAATAAATCATAATCACAAAAGCAATAATTTAAGGACATCCCATGGGTGACACTGCCACCTAGTGGCCACTTTTCTCTACAGACGATCACTTTCTACTGGTATACTCAGGGATGCTGAAAAGACTTACCATCCAGTGCATACATATACTTATGCACCCTTCTTCATATCTTACTGAATCATAAAATCCTTAAGGAAGAGACCATCTTTTACAGATTTTATTGCTTGCAGTAAGTACTTGCTAATGCTGAGGTGAAAACATGTTCTGGACTTACCCATGCAAGAAAATGAGAAAGAACATTTCACTCCTCATTCCTTCCACCCCTTTCTGCCCCTAACTCTCCCACTTCTGCTCAGGCCTACACAAAAGCTGCCAACTGTAAAAACCACAGCTGGACTATGTCAAATTTCTGTTCCTATGACCACACTGTTGAGGTAAGTGGCACCAAGGAGATTATAGAGCAATGCATCAGCTGAAGTAAATCATGCATTATTAAGTTATTCTTACTTCTAAAGACTAAAAAAACCCTCACAAGACAGTTAACTTTCCCAATAGCCAAATAAAAGGAACTGAGTTGTTAGCAGAATTTCAGAAAGACAGATGTCATTATAATTATCATTCCAATAGTTAATGCTTTATTGAATACTTATAATGTGCTAGGCACTGGTCTTACAGCTTTAGGTGCATTATCTTATGTAGTTCTCAAAACAATTGTACAAAACTGGTTACAAATCCAATTTTAACAGTAAGAAAAGTTAGGAAAGAGGAAAAGAGACCTACACCTTACTGTAAGTTGTTTCAACTATTAAGTGAAAAAGCTGGAATTTGAACCCAGGTGATGTATCTGTTCTTGGTAGGAAACAAAAACAAAAAAAAGTGATAATTGAGATTTTTAGAAATATGAAAATAGTACAAATAAAGTATTTTTTGAAAAAGTTTTAACAGATTTACCTGTTCTCTAAATTACTCTAAAAATGGATTCCCATTGCTGAATTATTATAATTATTCTCTGGAAGACATATTTTTTTTTTGCTCGACACAATACACCTTATCCACAACTTAAAGGAGAAGTTTAACTGGCTTACAGTTTCAGGAGATTCAGTCCCTGGTAAGCAGGCTCAGGAATACCATGGTGGAAGGGTCTAGCAGAGCAAAGATGTTTAGTTCATGGAGGTCAAGAAGCAGAGCAGAGGAATAGGACCAGAGAAGGGGTAAGGGTCCAGATATAGGCCCCTGACCGAGGTCATGTTTTCATGAATCACCCAGACACATCCAGAAATCTGCTTCACCAATATCCTGGGCAGTTCCCAAACCAATCCAGGCGACCCAATTAACCTTAACCACCAAATTCCATCCCATCACCTTGACACCAGGCTCTTTAAACCACACATAATCTCCAAATAAATACATTAACAAGTTAATAATTCTGCCCAGCATGTGACAACCATCCTGCATATAACCGAGAATACAATAATTCCTTTCTCAAATCTCAACAGTTCCAGTGTTTTTCAAAAGTCCAAGTCCAAGTTTCTTCTGAAACTCTGGGCAAATTCTTAGCTGTGAACCTCTGCAAAACTAAAGTCAAGTTACATAATCCCAACGTACAATGGCACAGGGTAAACATTCTCATTTCAAAAGGGAGGAATAGGGAGACAGAAAAGGAGAGGAACAAAGACTGAAACCTAGAAGGGCAAACATTAAATTCTGTAACTCCATGTCCAGAATCCAGGGTACATGATAATGAAATACTTTATGAGGTCCAGGTGGCTTGGGTGGCCCTATCCCTATGGCCTTGCTGGTTGCAGCCTACAAAACCTCCCTTGGGCTGACTCAACTCATGATTTGCTGCTTTCTTCAGCAGATGTTACACATTTTTGGCATCTTTGAGTTACTGAGGTCTCCACTGTATCTTTGCTTTTTCATTCCCATGGCATGACATACTGGCCTCAGTGGCTCCTTGCCTGGCCTCTCAGGCCTTCCTTTGAAATCTGGGTGGAAACCTTACTGAACCCACAACTCTTACATTCTGCATCCAGGTAAAATAACCACTATGCGGACAATGCCAAGGTATCCTGTCAGCAGCAGGAACCAGGCCCCCTTGGACAGTGGGTGCAATGATTGCTGAGTGCCTGGATGGCTGAGCAGAGTGAAGTAAATCCTGGGAAACCAATTCTCTAGGAGACCCTTAGGCAGGGGTCCCAGGGACTCTTCTCAAAGGAAAGGTTACACACATGTACCCTTGAGCCTTGATGGGTGTGGCGTTGCTGATTTCTGATGCCCTCAATGCCATCTTTTATCTTGACTTAGTAAAAAGTACTTGGTTTCTTTTTAATGGCACTAATATCCTCAGCAACCACTCCTCCTTTGGCTTCAACTTTGGTACCAAAATTTATGTTCAAATTTTTCTGCTCTTTGCTGATCGATTCCCACCATAAATCTGGCTACAGGCAGTCAGCAGTTCCCATGCCACTACCTGAATGTTGGACTACATTAAAATGTCCTCTGCCAGATGAATTAGTCCACTGCCCTTAATTTCGGTCTCCCACAAAGTTTTAGGACATGGGCAAAACGTAGATCATTTTTTTATTACCAGAGTATGACACACATGGCCTCTAGCCCCATTGTCAATGAAGTCCTTGTTCCCAAATAAAAGCTCTATGACTAGTATTTTACTGTCTACATTCCTATAAGCATTCAGGTCTACGGGAGACTGCAATATTGATTATGCCCAAAGCAGGTTGTAAGCAGTACAGGCTGGTAAAGAGTTAACCCCACAATTGGCTTCTTTTGAGAAGTGAGTCCAGCTGAAGCCTTCGTGCAGAGGTCAGAGTAACTTGTACCCAACTTCCATTTCTACAACTAAAACCTTAACTAGAGGGACAATGTTCTAATTATAACCATATATTTTGTCTATTCTGTTCCTAATTCAAGAGTGCTTTGCGTTGTCCTTTATGAGACTTGCTTACATTAATTTCTGCATAGAAATTACAAAGAAAACACATGACTGTGCAACCTCACACATAGTTCGACCCTTGCACATAGCTTGCCTTTACCCCAATTGATTACCGATAAAAATTAGTGGCTTTGTTGGTTGTACCAGCATTGGTTGTCCTAGTATCCTTATCCTGCTGTCTTAGCTCTTTTAGTTTTTCTTTCCCTCAGGCCTGTGTCATACACTGAGCAGGACACGGGAGCCTACTGCAGAGGTTTCCAGTAACATTTCAGGGGTCTCCTGTATGGGTCTTCTAATCTCTAACCAGACTCATCCATCTGGCTCAGCATACAGCATTCCATGGCTTCTCTAGCCCACATCTCCAAACCTTTCCAAACCTCGCCTGCAAACATGTTTCAAAGGCTTCTATATCACATATCTCAACAAATACACTCTCCTGGTACCAATTTTCTGTTTGGCTTTCTTGTTGCTAGACACAATAGCTGACACTCACAACTTAAGTTTAATTTGGCTCATGGTTTCAGAGGATTCAGTCCATGATCAGCAGACTCTACAGCACAAACATTGTGCACAAGGGTAGAGTGGAGCAAAGCTCAGTTCATGGCAGTAGGGAAACAAAGCAGAGCAGCACAACATCAGAGAGGAAGGGGTGAGGGATGAGATACACACACCAAAGTCATGCCTCCATGGCCCATCCAGACACACCCAGAAGTCTGCCTCATCAATCCCCTGGGCAGTTCCAAGACAAGCTGACCCAATCAAACTTAACCACCAAATTAAACATTGAGAATGAGTCAAATTTATAGACAAAGGTGGGTTTATTTACCTACTATGTACTGGCCTTGGCCCAAAACAGACAAAAGGTGCTGAAAAGAGTTACAGTAACTTGAAAAAAATATATAATAGAAATATTCAATATCTTAATATATTATTCTCCCCAAAAGCTGGCTGCTTCCAAACTTGATTTAATATTTTGCATGTTTTCTCTCCGTTGCTTAGTAAATATATTTGCTTCTCCTTTCTGCAGTCGACGTCTGACAGCTGATTTTTGCTGTTTTGTTAACTGACGTTTCACCTTCTGTTTTATCAATTCCTGGAGAGATTTTATAAATTAGTATCACTGATAATCAAGGAGTAGAAATTCACTAAAACAAAAATCTAGTTGCTAGTATCTTTCAAATTTATGTTATTAAGTATGACTTTTAAAAATCCCACTGACATTACTACATAAACTAGCAATAAAACAGGAGAAAGTGATAAAATTAAAAACTAAATTCCTAAGATAAACAGATTACACAGCAATTAAGGATCATGTACCGTAACAATACAGTAGTTTAAATAACAAATGACCATAGTGTTACCTACTGTTCACAATGAAAATGGAAGTAAAAAAGCAAGCTGAAGAAAACTATTCCTTTAGTTACCTCCCTCTCTCCCTCCTTCTCACCCAGGATAAGGTCTTGCAAAGTTGCTCAGGCTGACCTTGCAATTGTGACCTTGTCTCAGCCTACTGAGTAGATGGGATTACAGGCATGTGCTAATATGCCCAGCTAGACATGATTTTACAATAGAAAATTATATTTTAAAGCATTAACTATTGATTATAATATCAAAAAATGCCTTCACAACTTAGGAGTAGAAATAACCTGACAATGTCTGATGTTTCACATGATACTGCTTCCCCAAATCAGGATGGCCCGCAACATAGAAGAACCTGACATTCCATAAGTTTATGGACTGAGAAGTGGAACAGGCCAAGTTTTAGAATTCTACCCTACCCCAGAAACTGTTTAGGAACTCTGAGTACCTCCCACACCAATAAAAGACTAGAACCCAAAATAGAGGCCTACAGAGCCTTTACAGAGGGTGGTGGTTATGGGGAATCAAGATTTTCTCCTAATTTCCACTTGTTTACACTGAGACTATAATGATATCAAGCAAAATAAGGAAATGATGGATTAAAATTCAAACAATTTAAAAAGCCTATAAGGTTATTCTATGTAAGAAAGAAAAAAAGGGAGAAAATGCCACTTAATATGCTTTAAAAGTTGGTAAAATGGGATGTAAAATCAAAAACTTGTGTGTTATTTTAGGGGTACATAAAAATTAATGAAGACTATGTTGGTTTTTGGTTGTTAAAAAAGTTCTACTAGGTGGTAGCCACATGCATTTTTATTAAAAAGCAGTATATAATTTTGTTGAATTATAATTCAGTTACATATTATTAAGGACAGAGTTTATAAATGGCCAACAAATATGAATTATAAAAATATTTAAAGGAGAAACATGGATTTTGCAATTATAATTCCAAAGAACATACAGGAAATCCTTTGCCTTTGTACAGATACTAAAACAACAATCAAGTTAATGGAGGTAACAAAGTTCTCTCTCCTTTTTTCTTTTTTTTCCCAAAACAGGGTCTCACTAGGTGGTTCAGGGTGTCCTTGAACGTTATGTAGCCCAGGTTGGCCTCTAACTCAAGGTGATCCTCCTGCCTCAGCTTCCTGAGTGCTGGGATTATAGGTGTGCGCCTCCTAACTTTTTTTTTGATACCAGGAGTGGACTCAGGGTCTCGCACTTGCCAGGCAGGTGCTGTGCTGCTGAGCTACATCCTTGGCCCTGCCTAACTTTTTAACGAAATAAAACGTGACCTCCAAGGAAAAGCATGATAAAAATTTCAAGAGGATGCAGAGTTGAGATGATAATTTTGCTTTAAGTGATCAGAGAGAAGAGGTTGAATGGATCTTTTTCCTCCTTCCTTAAAAATTTGTATTTTATAATGTAATTCATAAAACCCAAGATGTGAGAGTTAAAGACTTGATTCACGCTAAACTTTTAAGTTCTTTTGCTAGCTCTATGAGACATAAAAAAAATTAGATTAAAGCAGTAAGACAACGATTAAAACAAGCAAACACAATTTTAACTTGGCCTCTGACAATGTCAGTACCATCATCTTTATACACAGAAAAACACATAAATTAGAATTTAAGGATGTAGCATAAATTAGTAATCTAATTTTCAGATATGCAATTACCAAATTTATTAGCTAATTAGCTATAAAATTATGTTTTGATTTTGAGAAATCAAAGGAAGTTAAGGAAAATAAACCCCAGCAGAGATCTAAATAAAGCTAAGAGAGGACAGGTGATCCTGACTGGTGAGAAATCTATAATAAAGACAGGCTGATAAAACTTAAAAGGAGAACATTTAAAATAATTAATATATACTTCACAGATTTCAAAGTTTTGTTCAGAAAAATCAGGGAAATTCCCAGGCCCTCAGAAAGAGTATATAAAAGGAATCGTATTTCTAGAATTTCACCTTATTGGTTTGACAATAACCTTTAAGAGTTTTTGAGATCAAGTAATACCCTGGAACTATGGTATATTATGAATAACAGAACTCTTATTTATTTTTTTGGTACCAGCGATTTAACTTGGGTCCTTGTGCTTGCAGGGCAGGTGGCAGAACCAATGAGCTAAATCCCTGGCCCCAGCTCTCTTATTTTTACCTTTTAGTAAACATCCTACACTACCAACCACATAACATACATTTATTGACTGAGTATTTCTGAGCTTCAGTTAAGAAGTCAGGAAAACGAAGTTACTTGTATTCTTTTCAATTCACTGCAGATCTAATCACCTCATTTTCTTCTTCCTTACTCTCTTAACTGATTTCCTTCTTTTGCTCATAAGGAGTTACCAGTGAACTCTGGTACTCATCTTAAACAGGCGGGACAAAAATCCAACACACCAATTATGTAATTTTAATTTAAGAAAAAAAGTGAGAAATTACTTTGTTGTTTAATCTTCTTAATGTTGGACAGAGTATTTTTTAGAAAGCTTAAACTAATTTCCAAAACACTGCTTAATTCAGTAATAAGGCCAGGAAATAAAGTGTTCTGCTGTGGGCTTACACACTAGTTTCTGTTGATTTGACTACCAAAGGACTCAGGAAGAGTAGCTGTTTTTTTAATTCACCAGAGAAATCATATTTGTAAATTGATGTTTTAAAATGGCAAGGAGACTGACATATGTCTTTATAAAGGTGACATCAGGAAGCAGGGAAGAGAATACCTCCACAGGCCAGTGAGAACAGCTCTTCTCTGAGGGAGTGATCAACTCTAAATTGATTCTTCCCTCTGGCTAGCTCTGAAAGAAGGCTGGCAGACAAAATGCTCCTCAGGAAGAGCTAGAATATTTTTGTTTATAGTCCTGTCCAGAAAAATGTCCCTTTTGTGATTTTTTGGAGCACTGTTGATAAATATCCAAAGAATCCAACAAACATTTTAGATACCAAAAATGGTGAAACTACCTTATTTTTCTCTCTCAAACTTAATGAAGAAATAGATTGTGAAGGAGGCTTCACACTTTACCATTATACTTCAGTTGCACTGCTGTCATTAGTTACGTAACTTTTAAAAAGTCACATAACCTGTCTGGGCTTCATTTCCCTCACTGTTAAGTGAAAGGACTAAACCACATGAAAATCTATCAAGTCCCCTTGGAAATAAAATATTTATGATTTTTATCCTTCAAGTTCAAGCTAATTTACATACTACCTTTTTCCTAAAAGCTTTGATCATTCCAGTTAAAGGCAAAGCCTCTCTCATATATTACTAAATTTTTACCTTTTGTAATTTTTAACATTAACATGTGAGGTCCAAACATCCAAGAGTATTTCATAATCTTCACAGTGCCTGTATTCATTAATCTGTCCACAGTAGTGACTTAATCAGCATTTGGTAAATATACAAATACTTACTGGAGGAATTGTTGAACAGCTTACAAAACTGCCTGCAGAAGTAACACTCAGAGTTCTTGTTCTATATTGATCAATATTTCCCCTATTTTCTTCATCTCTAGAATAAAATTTAAAAAGTTCATAATTCATCTAGTTAATTCTTATAATGTAATCATGCTTGACTGCATTAATTTATATCTTACCCAACAGGAAAACTTTGACATTCTTCAGAAAGATTTTATTTAAAATTTCTGCAGGTAAAATTACCTACAATTCAGCTTAAGATACTAACAATTTTCAATTTCAACACTGTTAATCACTATCAAAATTTCACAAGGACAGAATATCTCACATATCTCCATATATCAGAATGTCTCAAAATTTATCACTTCCTCACAATTCCTCTTTTTTCCCTTTAGGCCTCTCCTTTACTTTTACTTAACTAAACAAAACTACCTCTCACAATCTAAATGTCTGCAATACTTTCTTGCCACCTCCCCAAGTAGTAGGTATAATGGGGACAGAGGCAGAATTCTATGACTGCTATGATAGAAAAAAACCTAAAACCATGGAAACTAACTTCTTTTTTTATACTGATCAGTTTTAACAATGTATAAGAACTCAGAAAATACTAGTATTTTTCAGCAGTATCTATTTTGCTTCTACTATGCATAAAGAAAGTTTTGTCTAGCAAATGTCCAGAGAATGAAAATACAGGAGTTCCATTCCCTGCTTAGAACTTAGAAGACCATTTAACCCTAATTTTTCTTTTATCACTATGATGTTTAATTTTATGTGTCTACTTTTCTGGGGCATAGGGTGCCACATATTTTTCTAAACATTATTGTAATCTATCTGGAGGTGTTTATGAATTTAGACTGAGTAAATCAGACTTTTTTTTCCCAATATAGGTAGGGTTCACCCAATTCATTGAAAGCTCAAAAACAACAAAAAGGCATAGTAAGAGATTCTGGTATTTCTGCCTGGCTTTCAGGTGGGACATCAGTCTTCTGCCTGTGGACTCAGACTGGAACCCATACTGTTGCCTCTCCTGGTTTTCAGGCCTTGGGATCTAGACATACTACACCACTGCCTCTACCAGGACTCCAGCTTGCTGACTACAAATCCTAGGACTTACATACCTAACTACATAAGGTAATTCCTTACATGCTGCCCTTGACTTATGATGGTTTGACTTACAATTTTTCCATGATGCAAAAGTGACATACTTTTGCTGAAAACCATCAAACTGTGCCTTTTCTCTCAGGCTAGTGATATGTGATATGACACTCTCTTGGGCCACTGAACAATAAGCTGTAGCTTCTAATCAATGTAATCACAAGGGTAAACAACAGATACTCTGTTGCTAAACTATGATGAGGTTAAATGAATTTATGAGTTAGAATATTTTCATCTTATGACATTATGTAATCTCACGGTAAATTGAAGGGCATTTGTAATAAATCTTGCTGGTTTTTCTCTGGAGAATCCATACCAACACAATCATTTTCTAAAAATTCTGAACACCCCCTGCCCCGCCAAAAAAAATTCTGAACTACTACTGCTCCTAAAAATGGCAGTAGCCCTGAGACTGAAGATACAGAGCTATGTGGAAAAAGAACAAAATTCTCATACAACTATAAACACAAAAATAGCCTTAAAATGCAAGGCCAAATATACACTAAAAAATGCTTAATACATATTTTGCTAGTTTAATTTTGTCATATTATATTGAGATAAGTAAAGCCAATATTTCATTAAATTAGTTTGATTCTGGATTTGCTATCTCAAATTGTAAGCTTTAGAACTTTTCCTGACTTAATCTGAGCCTGATTAATATTTGTAAGACAAAATAAATTTTACAAGGAAATACAACACCATTATATAATTTTAACTGTATATGAAAAAAGGATAGACAATTAGAAGTACCAGTGAAAATTTGTTGCAGATATTTTATACAGAAAGAATATTAACTGCATGCCTTATGTATTTACATGCCTTTATAACTGAAAACATAAATTAGATGTGTAAATATAAAAATAAAAACCTCATCTAAAACCTGATAAATTTATCAAGACCTACATTTAATTCTTTGAAGGTCATTTTGTATTTTAAGGCAGAACTGAAATTGAGTTAACAGGCTATCTTGAGTCAGTTCAACTGAAAAGGAAGATATTAGGAGTTTCAGTAAGAGAAAGGTTATTTGGTTTTCATTTTACACATAACAATGGCAGAACACAACTCTGTTAAACTATTTTTTTTTTTTTTCAAAAAGTCATTTATTAGAACCAAACAGTCTTGGTCTGGAGATTAGAGTCAAGAAATAATAAAAATCTATACCTGAAAGGCCTGAACTCTTTGTTTAATGACGACAGGTTAATGAGACAAGGGCAGTCATCGTCATCCTCCTCAGAGCCAGCAGGGCTTCCTCCCTGACTTGTCTGGCCTTCTCGCATGGTGTCATTTTCATTTCTGTTCTCCTCAGAAAACTCAGTTGTACAACTGCTTTCAACAATCTGCCCTTTTATTTCTTCTAAAGGTTGACTGAATTCAGTCATTTCAAAATTTTTTGAGTGGGCACTCTCTTCTGATAAGCTGTCTTCTTTTACCTGTTCATGGTCTGAGGTAGAGTAGCAGCCTCTTGATTCATCTACAGCATACTGTTCACTTTCAACTTCTGACCCACAAACTTTTGCATTTTCTGACACTTCATCATCAGAAAAGGAGAAATCGGATCCCTCCTCTGTTTCAGTGTTTTTATCATCTGGACCTACTGGATGTAAAAGTTCATCATCTGCCTGCATTTCCTTTGTATAACCACTGGCAGAAACCTCAACATCAAGAGACTCCTCCCTCCTAGAGGGGAAAAAAAGTGTTGTATATTGAAAGAGAAAAAAAAATATCTATTTGAGATGAATAAATATTTACTGCTCTGATAAAATACGATGCTCAAGTAAATTGAAATATTTTTCTTTGCCTAAAATATAATACTTAAAATATATAACTAAAAAGATATATGCTGTCATTTTAAGAATAAAACAGACTGAAAAGCAACATATTAATAAAAAGTTATAGCAACTTCACTTATTATTAATTTACTAAGAAAAGTTTCAAAGGGAGCTAAATTTTTAAAAAATTACAACCCACCCTACATTAGGAAACATCTAAAGTGTACAAAACAAACGAGAAAACTTAACTTAGAGAATGTACATAATTATGTCCTAAGAATTAAAGACAGTTTCTGTTCTGAATAAAGAAAAAATATGAATTAAAAAATTATTTGGTTTTATTCCTTACGAATGGGTTTTTCACATAGCATCTGAAACAGAATAAAAGTTCTTGAACTTATAAGAAATCATATGTGTGTATATGTATATATATGTATATATATATGCATGTATCTATAAATGTAACAGCAGTGCCTTCATGGACTTAAGTATTTTCACAGTTTTAAGTTTCATTGATGTACTCCAGACCAATGTTAACAGCAATTATAATCCATCAAAGATCACTACTGTACATTTTTAAAATTTTCATTTAATTTTATTATTTTTTTTTTGGTACCAGGGATCAAACTCGGGTCCTTGCTGCTTGTGCAGCAGGCGGCGAAACCACTGAGCTAAATCCCCGGGCCTGAACATTTTTTTAGATGATAGTGTTAAGCTTTAGAACTAAGTAAGTATTAAGGGTCCTATCATTTTAAGCAATGCTGAATACAAACCTAGTATCACTAAAGGCTGGATAAAGCTCACTTTCATAGCCAAAACGTCTCATGAAGAAATCTCTGATGCATTTAACATCTCTGTCAAAATACCTGCAAAAGCAAACAAGAAAAAAAAATTTCTGATACAGCCTTTGTTGATTATTTTCATTATCCAATGACAATATATTTATTTTTTGTTCCGATACTTGTTTCTTACACAAAGGAGAAAAAAATGTTACACAAAGAAAAGTCAGTTGTCAATGTACTTGAAAAAACTAAAACATGAGGAAATCTCGAGGAATATGCCAATATAGTTCACATGGTTAGAAAAGCCAAGATTTCCTTACATTGCTACTTATTATATAGTAAAATGTACTGGGTGTGAGGAAGACAAGTGTGAACCTAGAGTAGGTGACCATGAGTCTAGAGTGTGGAAGCAGGTTTCCACTTATCCTCTGAAGTTAAGAGTCTGTCTGGTGCAGCTTCCTATTAGCGGCCCCTACTAGAACACATTGCCAAGTGGGAAAGCTGAAGATAAAAGGAGATCAATGACTCACAAGGAAGTTTGGAGAGTATATACCTTTATTATCCATAACACCCAAAGAGATATATAAGCTGTGGCTTATAAATAATGATCTGAGGGCTGGGATGTGGTTCAGTGGTGCTGCGCCTGCCTGGAAAGTGCAAGGTCTTGAGTTTGATCCCTGGTACAGGGTGTGTGTGTGGGGGGTATAAATAAATAAATAATGATCTGAGGACATATAAACCGGACTGAGAGGTTAGAAGGAACTATAAATACCAGGTTACTTTTCTGGCCACCACAAAGCAGCAAGGACAGATTCAGTTCTTTAGAAGATTTCCAGATAATTGACAATTACAGACAAGATGACATGGAATTGATCACCTTTTTGAATTTTTAACTACATTATTTTGAAAAAAGATGAAGTGTGAGACTAGGAAGACAATGCTACTCTTTTTTGCTCTCAAGGCCCTGGGGAAAATCTTAATAAGTTTAAAATTATTCACACTTCCCTGAATAGATAGCATCTTTTTCAAAAGCAGAGACAAAGCTTATTTATATCTTCATTTCTACCTCTTAGTACAACTCCTTTGTCCCACTACTGGTTCATATAAATTGAATCCACTGCTTCTCCAAAGAACAATGCTGAATATTATAATCTATCATCAATCCCTTCTCCAACTGGTGGCTCCCAAATATTCCTTTATTGTGTAACTATACTATTCTATATTAATAAAAATGATTAGCCAAGATAACATCTAGAGTACTGACCACCCAAGTGCCAGTCATTAATCTTTTAGTATTTTTTGTTGGAAATACTTTAAACATTTCTTTCTTTGGCATTACTATAGTTTCTAATGGAAACCAGGAAGGTGAGCTTCACTTAACACATACTGCTTCGAGCTCCAACTTTCTCAGAATGAATACACTATTATATAAGTGATACCAGTTGCCACTTCGTGAAAAAGAAGTGTTTCATAAGACCTAGAACAGGGAGAAAGAAAAAACACCCTTAAATTTGATTATACTCACTGCATCATGAAATCCAAGTAAATAAAGGAAAAGATCATATTTCACAACTTGGCTAGTTTAAATAGTTAAGTAAAGCGAAGAATATGATTATCACAGTATATAAAGTCATTCTGCCCCGTGTCAGGGAAGAAATTTCATGTGAATTCTTTTCTAGTAATAAAAGCTAAAAATAACATGAGAAATAATTACCATTGGTCTGGAAGCCAAGTCCAGTACAAAACTATAACTTTACTAAGGCCATCCAAGATTACAGTTATACTTGGTGAGGATCTCTCAGAAGTAACCATGGGGCAAAGACAAAAGAGGAAAGACAAAAAGTATGTGGTGGTTCTAGGGTTCTCCTCTCCATGGTTCTACTTTGTCTGAGCAGGCTTTTATCTCTTTTAAAAACTGAACTTCCATCTAAAAGTCTGTTACAGACTTGGTAACAAAGTGTACATATCTAAGAAAGTTTGATTTGAATGTCTGTCCAGTTACACAGCAATTCAAATTCTTTTGATGCTATCTTCATAGTAGTTTATACAACAGAAAATTTCTTCAGATTTCTAATACAGAGCAAAAAATTTTATAAACAGGTTTTAAAACTTGGATCAAATTACATTGTTTCCACTTTAAAAATACTAATAAGGGAGATTCTGACAGCATATCCTTTAACAAGTATTTTTTATAACATTAAAACCTGCAACTTCAAAACAGTTACTAACCCACATAATAGTATAAAATTAGAAATTACGAATGAAAAGATTTCATCATACACAAACACTCTCACATCCACAAATCAATTACAGCATATACCATTCAGCATTGGGATGAGAAGTTGAAACCATTTGTGGAAAATCAATCATGGTAATATGGTCATCTTTATCCAATATGAGATTGAATTCATTGAAATCTCCATGAATCAGCCCGTGATTTGCAAGTTTGACAATGAGTTCCATCGCTTCATCATATACTGATGCAGGATCTTCAATGTGGTGTATTTGACATCTGAAAGAATTTTAAGAATGAAAACAGGTAATTTGTACACAGTATGATTTTAACAAATGTGTGTGTACATATATATTATTTCTACTCTGTCTAGCAATTTTGTCCTTATTCCCATGATCACACATGACATGTCCCTGTTATTAAAAGACTATATTCTGCTTCAATTCTGTATCTTATTTCAACTACAACATCCTTTCTTTAATCTTTCTCAGAGCCAAACTCTTTGGCCAATTTCTTTCCTCTCACTCTCTTATGAACCAATTTCAAACAGCCTTTCATTTCCCTTACTACAATGAAATGGTTATCAAGATGGCCACTGATTTCCATGTTTCTAAATCCAAATCCTTAGTCATCATTTCTAGGCAGCTGACCTCTTTCCTGTCCTTTAAACATTTCCTTGGGGCACACATTATTAGAGTTTTCTCTTTCCTCACTCATCATCACTCAGGCCAAAACTTTGCTGTCATCATTGACTCCCCTTTCCTTCACATCCAACTTCAATCCCAAATAACTCATGTTGGTCAATTTGCAAAATGTAAGACTCTGAGCACTTTTCACCACCTTCATGACTATCACTGTGAACAGAGCTACTGTGATCTCCTGCCTGGATTACTGCAACAGTCTAACTTATCTTTCTTTTTTTTCTCTCTCCTACATCTGCTATTAAGAGTAGCCAGTGACCTTTTTTATGACATCAGTTATATCACATCTTTTCTTGGCTGAAAACAGTCCTATCATTTTCTATTTCAAAGTTTAAAATTCCTTACAAGAATCTACAAATCCTAAGTGAACTGGCCACGTGCTCCCCATGAGATCTCACTACTTACAATGTCCCTCACTTTCTTAGTCACTCAGCTCGTTAGTGGCTTCCTCTCAACCCAGGCATGGCTGCCAAATATGCCGTCATTCCAGGGCCCATGTACCTATTCTCTGTTTGTAATATCCTTTTAGATATCTACATAGCCTCCTCTGTTTTCAACTTTCTGCACTCATAAATTTTTACCTTATTATAAAACTTATCTTTACTACTCTATGCAAAATAGCAATCTTCTACCCCTACCTTGGTATTTGATCACCCTCACCCTGCTTTACTTTTATCCACAGCATTTAATTCATACACTTGATATATCATCATTTCCTTGTTTAGTTATTTAAGGGATGTCTCTTCTCATCATAATCTAAGTTTCATGAAGACAGAGACTTTGTTTACTTCACTGCTGAGCTTAAAAGCATCTGGCATGTAAGAGACTCAATAAATACTGAGTGAATGAATCACAAAGATTACAAAATCCAATCGAAATGAAAGAATGAAACTGAGTTTTCAATTTGTCTTAGAGTCTATTTCTCTAAGTCAATTGCTAACATATCAGAAGCAACATTCTATGAATTGAAGAAAAATTTATTCAATAAAATGGAACAATAAGTTCATTTATTAGGACTCATGGTTTCAAGAATAATGAGTACTTACAGGGGATAACCACTTATGAGCTCCATGACCACAGCATGGCGATTATAATCAATTGGCTTTGGAACTGGAAATTTTCTATCGTGTAATGCCTAAAACATGGCAAAACAGGTATAAGCTATGAGGAAGTTATTACTTTTTAAAGAACAAAAACAAAGTAAATGTACCTTCCCACAACTAGAGGAAAAATACACAAGTCTTTATAAAATCACAAATAACACATGGTTATTTATGCACTGCTTATTAATCACTGCAAGAATAAGCTGTACATAAAAACAAATTTTAAACCTGTTTGAATTTACTTTTCCTCTAAAAATGAACATTTACTTATTATGCACTTTGCTAGGGTTACAAAAGTGAGCCCTCATGAAGCTCAGAGTCTCTTAGGATATTTCATTTCTGTTTTTTCTTTGTCATTTGTTGATATTCCAATGAAAACAAATGATTTAAGGCACACTCTGTCTTCTGCATAGTAGGAAAAGAAGCATTCCAAAAGTCAGACATTTTAGTTTGTAGAGAACTGACTTTTTTATCCAGAGCACAATATATAACATAACCATCCTACAAGGCAGAATAAAAACACAATGTCATTTTCTGTTTAATTTATTGAAGATATGTGAATATTAAGATATTTTAAAAAATCTATGTAGAACCTTACTTTGAAGAAGGTTAAAAATTGAGTATTTTTTTTTTTTTACCATTTTTGATACACATACAAGTTTACAAGATAATATTTTTTCTATCATGTTACAGAAAAATGCTTGTCTACTAATTTGGGATACTAAGGTTTCCTACAGATGGTGTTTATAATTAACATGTACAGGAATGATCAAATATGAATATTTAAATTTTTAAGTGTATTATAGTAAAAGACACATGGCCATCACCCCCACCCCCCGCCCCCACCTGTCTCCCTCACTTCAAACACACTCGTTGTTGCCACTCTCTAAAGCAGTACTGGAAGGCCTCTTCTGTGAATGTCTTTAGTTGCACTGTCATGCCTGCTTTGGTGTCCTTAATCACTTTAAAACATTTGCATTTTATTTTGATTTTGGGAACAGGCAGAAGTAGCATAGTCCCAGGTCTGGTGAATAAGGTGAGGACACACCTTAATGTTTTTGCAAACTGCCTTTCAGTTGGATGGAGCTTGACAACAGCATTCACCCTCATCTTTGACCATATCTTGTGAAGACACTCATGAAAGAGGGCTTCCAGAACTGCTTTAGAAAGTGGCACAAATGATGGGATAAATGTGTTTAAGGCGAGGAGGCGTATTACGAGGGGAATTAATGGCAGTGCGTCATATACTGTAATAAATTTTTTAATCTAAACATTCGCTGTATATTGAGCCTCCCTTGTAGAGTTATATATGAACAGATATACTTCCACACACATAAATTTGCATTAATAACAATTAAAAATACCTCACTACAAGGAAATCACTAGAAAAATAACAATAATCAAGAGCTAAAAGCAACTGTCTATAAGGATTGAGCCTGAGGCTAGGGAGATGCTCATCCTTAAGGTCTTTTTGTTATTTGGTTGAAAAATGAGCTATCTGTATTATTTGATTAAATGATGTAAAATCACTTAAAATTACCTTCATATAAGCAAATTCCTTCATGGCAGAGAGACGAGACAAATAAAGCCAAGAAACATTATGCCTGTGCTTATGGTAATCACGCTTGTTTTTCAGATTTCGGAAAGAGGTTCTTCCTAGTCTATGAAGCTTTAATGCAAACTGCTGTCCTTCTTCATTTGCAACAATGTAAACATCTGGAATCAACATTTTTAAAAGATCACTATTATACTTTTATTATAGTAAGTTAAAATAATTCTAATTTTATCTGACTTTTTCTTGAATCTGTTACCCTGCTTATTATATACTTGGCAAAACAATTCATATCCCATGGATTCACTATTTTACTTTATATGCCAACATATTAGTATCTACTACAAAACAAATCAGAGTTGTAGTAGGTCGAAAGTTTTTGTTTCCAAGATGTTCAATGCCATTAACAAATGTCAAAACAATCATGCAAATTTAGTGGAGAAACATCTAACTGTTCCTTAATGTTCTGTGAGAAGTGATTTAGTATCCTCCCTTTCAAAGACATTAAATTTAATTTTTCAGTAGCTTTCATGAATGCTACTTATTAGAATATATTCCTATAAAGAAGAATCTTCTACTAAGCAGTCTTTCAACCATCAAAACGAGTTGCTGTTGCAATGGTGAAATCTAACATACATTCTAGTTACTCATGAAGAAATTCTAATTATTAATTTCTAATAAGAGACTGCCATACCTACTGATGAAGTTATAAATCAGCACAAATGTTCTGAAGAGAAATTTGGTAAATCAAAAATTTAAATGCCTTTACATTTTAAGTAATTGTTCCCCTGCTATATATTGAATTGCATGTTCCCCCAAAATTCTGGTATTGAAACCCTTTATTTCCAGTATAACTGAGGATAGGCCCTTAAAGAGGCAATCAAGAGTATAAGAAGTCAGAGGGTGAGTAAGGTCCTCATCTCTAACTGGCATCTTTATCAGAAAAGGAAGACACACCAGGTGAGGACACAGCAGTCAGGTGCTTGCAAATTAAGGGCGGCCTCAGGAGAAACCGAACCTTGATGTCACACTTCCACCCTCCAGAACTACATTTCTGTTTTAAGGCCACCCAATCTGTGGTGTTTTGCTATAGCAGGCTTAGCAACCTAACAGATGTCCCAATAATTCAGTTTTAAGAATGTACTTCCAAATTTATTTGCATACATGTATAGAGACATCTGTACAAGGGTGTATATTGCATCACTACTTACAAAAACGATGGAAAGTAACTTAGGCAATCATTAACTAGTAAACTCATTTATGGAACTTCCATACAATGTCATATCTATCTTGCGATTATGAGAGAGACATAAAATGATGTGAAATGATACCAAGAATGTACTAAGTGGGCAAAAGTCAAAATGTAAAACAGTGAATACTGTTGGCTTTCACTTGTGATTAAAATGGTATATGAGTATTTCTACATATATCCTTAATACATATAAATATACTTACATAGAAAATTTCTACAGGGATAGGAAAAAATAAAGGGTGTTAGCCTTGGGATGCAGTAACAGGAGACTGAGACATGGGCTAGGAATAAGACTAGTTTTTATTACATTCTCCTTTGTACTAATCATCATCTTGCCATGCAATTAATTCCTTAAAAATTAAAAAATAAAGACTTTTTAAAAGCTGAATTTTTATTTCATTATGACTTGGTTCTCATATGTATTACTACAGTATTTGTAAGTCAATTCATGATTTTATAATCAAAAGTAGTATGGACTATATTGTATGCAAAAAAAATTAAAAAAAACCAGGATGTTTACCCTAGAGTATCTCATATCTCTATTATGTATTTATTACTTCCACACACAAACAGACTGTTCTTAGTACTTTAGCATTACTTTTTAAATATATAACATAACCTGAAGCCATGCAAGCCATATAAAGTAGCATAAACATCTTCTTTGGGTTAGAAATTAAAAATTCTTTTACTTCCAAGTTTAATTTTGTTTCCTCATTTTATATAAATACACGAACTATACGATAAACTACACAGTACAAAAAGCAGTTGGGAAGAGGGAATTATATAAAGAAATCATTTCCTGTTCTTTTTTCCTGTCTTCTCATAGAGAATAAATTGTGCGCAAGTATTTTTTCAATGTTATTTTAGAATGCTTTTTTCTCCTTATGTTTTATACATACTCATCTTTGACTTTTCGGTTGTACTACTGTGGTACAAAACATGTTTTTAGTTTTTAGATATTAATTATCTTATATTACTTCCTTGTAGTTCACATTTTAACTGTTATAAATACAATTTATCAGATACAAAACAAGGACAAATAAAATATCTGCCAAAGAATGGAGTTGTTAGTGGAAAATCAATTCTTGATATAATTGAATTTTCAGTGATGGACTAAGGAAATAAAATAACCTACTAAACTAAAGACATGTTCATAATCTATCCTGCCTTCAACCAACTTTCCAATTTACTATTTAGTTGGAAAATATGGAAAAACTGAAAGAGGTATGTTTTCTCAAGGGGAAATATAAACTAAAGAAAATGTTTCCAACAGGACTATGAGGACTCACCTGATTCTTTGCCAACACCCATCTGGTTTCCAACAGACTCAACTACCTGTCTAGAAGAAAGTGTTTTCAAAGCTAGGTAATCATAGCCTGCGTTTGTCAATCGATATCCCTGGACAGCTAGACAAAATCAGATGAGAAAGACCATATATGAGTTACATTGTAGGAACAAGTCACAGCAGTTCAAATCTAACAAGAATTTAAAGATGGCAAGTCTTAGCTGGAAAAAGAAACTACCTAGATTGACAAATTTCCAATTTCTTCCTATAATTTGCATTTCTCTAGCGTACAGTTACTCAAAGTGTGACCCACCTATGGCCACCAGTCTATAAATGTTTGTGACAAGATAAATATAGAAACTAAAAGGAAGCATTTAAGTTCAGAAATTTTTCTACTGATTTGACCAAGAATTTATGCTGGTTTTTGTATATGTCTGTTAGTCACTTCTTTTTGGTAATTACTTTTTATTATAGTTTATAAAACTAAAGATCTATGACAGGTTTAAAAAATCAGCCCTCACCATAGAGGTGAAGTAATGCTCTAGTATACAGTCCTGTGGCAGACTGAATTTTCCAAAGATGGCAGCAAAAATATCTCTATCCTATTTGCTCTTCTGCAATGCTACTCTTTTGTCTGTCCCCTTTAATCTAGTGTGGTACCAAAGGAATCAGTGTAAAAAACCAGGAAATACAGGGGCTGGGGATTTAGCTCAGCGGTTCCGCTGCCTGCCGTGCAAGGACCCGAGTTTGATCCCCAGTACCAAAACAAAAACAAAAACAAAAACAAAAAACCAAGAAATACTATATCAATAGAAATACCAAGTTTAACATGCACAAAGCCAAGAAAACCAATGATGTCAAATACTCAATTTCTATTGCACTGTCCCTTGAACCCACTAGCGGGAATACACTGTTGAGTGTAGATACCACAGAGTGCATGTGAGTTTTTTTGACAAACAATATGGAAGAATGTTGTGTCAGTTCTTAAGCCTAGTGCTTTACTCATCTAGCAATTTCTATTTTTTGCCTTCTGAATAATTGGGGGAATAAGTGAATTGGTGGAAACCAATTATCTGAAAATTCAGAAATGATACATTAAAATACTTACTTTTGGTACGTTCCCAAGCTATGAGTTTATGTTTCACTAATTCTCTTAAAATTTTATTACAGCCACCATGTTTCAGGCTGGCAATAGAAGCAATCAAACTGCAGGGAACTATTTCATGGTTCTTCATACCCATTTCAACCTGAAATTAAAGGGATTGTTATAAAATCATAATCAACATAATACCTTTATCAAATCTTTCTAAGAAATTAACTTCTCCTTGAAACTTTCCTGACCATGTAATTCTTCAACTGTGGTCATGGGTAGCTTAACAGCAGGGACACATTCTGAGACATGCTTCATTACTCAATTCTGTCCTTGTGTAAACATGATAAAAAGTACAAAGAGGGCTACAGTGTCATTAGATGATATAATCTTGCGGGACTTACAGATACATGTAAAGTCAATGTCAGAAATGTTATGTAGTGGATACTTGTAGTTCTAGGACATAATTACTCCCTTCTCTAATATTTTCAATTACAGTTTGATATATTCACTGATCAGATATTCCTTGTCTCGCTACTTCACTTCAAGGGTAGGGATTGTGAGCATTTTACAAAGGTAATGGTACATGGCAAATACTACAATATTTGCGCTAAGGCACTGTAGAAGATAAAAAATGAAAAAAACCAAACCAAACCAAACCATAAGGATATTCTTTACTCTTGGAGAATTAAAAGAAGTAGCTCAGAGTCCAAGAGACTTTTTAGCTAAGAGATCGCTTTTAAGGAAGAACTGATAGTTTAGACTGACTTTGAGAGGAAGTAGACAGGTGGTATAAAAGAAAAAAAAAGATTTGGAAATGGCACATACACAAGAAAGTTCTGAACAGAGGGAATTGGTAGTATGTACGGCACTAACTCAGATGAGATGGCACATACAGTTCATGCAAATAAGGCTATAAAACATTTTTAAGATATAGAGGGCTCTCAAATGCAGACAAAGGAGTTTGTATTTTACACTAGGAAAACAAAAAACTCTTGAAGATGTTTAGGCAAAGGCTACACATAGCAGAATTCTTTTTAGGATATTAATGTAGGAAGAATATCAAAATGGGCTTAGAAAAGGCAAAACTGGGGAAGATGTACTGGAAAATTAAGACAGCATTCCAGCTCAGAGGAAACAGTAAGCACAACTGGGCAAGTAGTAGTAGCAAGAGAGGGAAGGAATTAAAGATCTTTAGTAGTAAGAGAGGGTCTGGCAATTGGAAGGAGTGGAGTGGAGAACAGTCTGGCAATTAGAAGGAGTAGGGAACAGCCAAAGTTGAAAGTAAAGAGTTTTAAAATTATATTTTTTTTGGTGGAGTTTGGAAAAGGAGCAAAGAGGTAGACAAAGTTGATGAATTTGCTTTGAGAACAAAGTCAAATGAGGATGTTTAAAGGAAAATTAGAACAGGTCTACACTTATAAATGAAGTCATAATTAGAGGAAAACACTGCCAATTAAATCTGACAGAGGTGAAAAATGAACTGTGAAGTGGATGTAATTACCAAGCAAGTGATAAATGTAAAAAATAGTGAAGGGCCAGGGGACATAATTTTTGGGAGAGTTCATAAGGTAAGGGTGGCAAGTCAAACAATGGTAACTGACATAGGAGGAGCCTAAGAAGCTAAGGGGTAAGGAAGTCAAAGAATAGTAACAATACTGGTAAGATTCAATTGAGACTGGGAAGCTGTATTTAATGACTAGATCATTTCTTCATGTGATTCAAAAAGAATTTAAATGATGTAGAGTTAAAATTTTGGATGATAAATTCAGTATCATTTTGGTGGCCACCAAAACTTCACACATTAAGCTCAACTTCATGCTTTGTCCTGCCTTCTCTCTCTTCTAACACTCTGCCCCTTGACTCCAATATTTCTGTCAGAGGTACTGAGAAATTAATGACGGTGCTGAGGAAGCAAAGAAAGTATCTTCCAGAGTTGACAATAGGTATTAAAAGCCCAGAGAACTGAATAATCTACATGAGAGAAATCTGCGTTCCAATTTCATACTGACCTTGCATCTGACAGTTTACTTGTTAAGTGTTGTGAATTTAGGATTAATTTCAAAATTCTCCAACACAAAGCCTTAAAATAATACAAGCATCAGTGACAATAATATTTTATACTGCTGCATAATTCCACATTATATTCTTTATCAGGGGCTCACTCTTTACTGAAAAAGAATGGTTTCTAAATAAGTGTATTGATTTATTCTGCACATTCCTAGCTTCAAGTACATAAGGACTGACTTTTTTGCTTTAAGACTAGGACTATAAAGTCAGATTTTGTTACTCCCTCATTGAAAACATTCAGTGCTCCCCTCCAATATTTACCAAGCCTGAAAGGCAAAGTATGTATATGATTTAGCTCTCACATTTTCCAGTTCCATTTCCGTTAGTGTCTGTCTTACTGTGCTCCAGCTATTTTGACTTTTCTTCAAAGACTTGCCTGCCTCAGGGCTTTTACGACTTACTATAGTTATTTCCTCGGCCTCCAGCTCTTTCCAAAAACATCACTGGGGAACTTAATGCTCTAGAGCTATACGTAATTCTCCTCAGTACGGGACTTAAACCTCCTCTGCTAGGTGGGAAGCCAGGGGTCAGAGACGTTTCCCTAGCCAGAGAATGCAAATGTCTCCCAAGCTCAAGGAGAAGGGCAGCCGAAAAGAAGGAAATAATTAGAAAAGGGAGCCTCTGCTGTAGTTGGGGCCGATAAGCTCTTAAACAAAAGCTTTTAAAATATCAGACTTCTCAGGGCTCTTCAAGGAAATTCCTTATTTCCATGGTAGCCTCTGTCATGTCCCAGGGATCAGATAGCGCCCACTCAGCTCCCAGCAAACAGGAAGAGGACGCAAAGTAGGAAGAGATAAGGGAAATGGGAAGAGGCAGGTTTCTTACCGCCGTCAAAACCCTGAAGTCATCTCGGCTCATGTAACGCAGCTTGGCTACATTTACCTTCCCCATGGCGGCTCCAGAGCCACCCAGAAGGTTCACCAAGACAGTCCGACCGCGAAGGGCTGCTGGGTAATTTCTCAGGCTGTACAGGGACCAAGGCTCGCGCATGCGCCTTGTCGGACTACAGGTCCTTGTTGCTAGATAAAAGTACTAATTTTTTTCACTGGCATAGGAAAGTACGATGTCCTCTTTGTCTTATGAAGCAATCTATATGTATCAAAAGAATGTTCTATTTTTTACTTATTCTGTCAGGTGACTGAAATTCTTTCTTATAATATTCAGTATTTTTCATATCTGTCAAGACTTGCTGCCTGAAAGACGCATCCTCTAGCTGAGAGAAAACTTGGTAATGTAATGGGAAGAGCAACTAGAGATGGGCGGAGGAAGTGACCCTGAGATAGACCAATGTTGTTCCAGGTAAAGACGACAATAGTGATTTAAGCAGTCCCTCCACTCCTCTCTGCGCCGGGGAGACAGGGCTAACACCTCTATTGCGCTTGCTCAGGCTCTGAGTTCATTGGGTCCTCAGCCCAATGCGGCGCCTCAGTCTGGTGTGAGGGGGATGTTGTTACTTCTCCGCGACCAATTACAGGGCACTGTGATGCTAGGGACGGACCTGTTGTGTTAGACCGGGCTCCCACAAACGGCTTAAGGGCTCAAGGAGAGCTGCCCGCAGTGGGTCTGCAACTCCTCTCTATTCCCCAAGACCTTCAGACGGTGCGGGAGTGTAGACAGCTAGGACCCAATAAAGATATGTTTCCCATACCCTCTTTACAGCAACAGCAAGTAAACTTGCAGGATACTGTTTGCATTTCTGTTTTATTTCATAAACCATATTTTGTGTTTAAACAGTAAACATTTTAGTACTACTACTATTGCCCAGGTGCCTCTTCCTTAGTTCATACCTTCATGGGCGATCAGTTGGTGAAGGGAAAAAACAATGCCTATTTGGTTCATGGATAGTTCAGTTGGATAATGTGATTGAACTGCAGGCCCAGTTTGTTGCTTTAGAAGTGATCAGGTAGTAGTCTCTTAGATGGAAGATCTTTAAGAGGTATATTTGTCCATTCATTTGTGTTGGAAGAGAAGGCTCAAGTCTAAGACATATATGGACTTAGGGACAGAAGTGAGTAACTTGGCTGGTTGGTCAAGGACATGAAAGGATAAAAACTGGTTGGACTGGAGACAAAATAGTCTGATACAGAAAGGAATAAGGCTTGTTATATTGGTGTGGAGAAGAAATCTGGAGATCTTTGGATTGAATTTAACACAAGAAAACAACTACCATAAAAAAGCAACTAAACAACCACAGACAAAAAGTATCTAGTTGACATCCAGTCTCTGTCATTACAATCTACTATCACAGTAAAGGTACAATTAATCAAATGAATTAGTGATGGATGCAAGGATAGAGGTTAGACGTGGGCCTGACAACATGGGCTGTGATTTACTGAGGTTACTAGTGCTGTTCCTAAGCACCAAGTCCTTTAGCAGTCACCGATGCTTAGTTCCCAGTAAGATGCTATCTCTGGAGAAACTAACTATATTGGGCCCCTTCCACCATAGAAGGGCCAAAGCCAGAGATTTACTGACAATTATATATATGTATATATATAATTATATATATAATTACATATGTGTAATTTTCTCTATCTATCTATCTAGTATATGTACCTTGGTTCATGAGTTTTAACTTTTTCCATGATTCTGCTTGCAAAACAAATTGGAAAAGAACTGAGTCAGATTCCCCTGTGAAATGAAATTGAACTTAACCATTGAATTTGATTTGGTTCTTGTCCAATTCCATTTGTGACCAGAATTGTGCAAAGGATTAAGTTCATAAGCTGAGGTACCATATATATATATCATGGATTTACTTTTCTTGACTTCAGGGGCTTAGCTTGAGCCAGTATTTTAAGATGCATAGAAAGTTTGCTGTAACAGCAAAGGACTGTACTTTACATCCAAAAAATGACAGAAGAATGGACACTACCATGTGATCCCTACTCATATCACATGCTACACTACTAAGAAGCTAGTAGAGTGATGGGAAAGTCTTGAAGGAAGAGTGTATTGAAGCTAGTACTGAAATGTCAGCACAGAGGTAATACCTTGTGAGTTTGGGCTCCTAAACTCCAAGATATCAATACATTTTATATGGTCCCAAAAGGTAGAATATATTGGTCTAGGAATCAAAAGTTGGAAATAATATTGACTCCAGCTACCATTATTCTCAGTAGTCCTCTTAAGGAGTTTTATTCTCAGTAATTCTGGGTTCTGAGGGTTTAGAAGTATTGTTTTTCAACGGGGAATATTTCTAGTAAGATATAGCCAGAATTCAGTTGAACAATAAGCCATGCTGACATCTTGTTTCAAGGAGACAAGGCATAGGCGAGTAATGAGGATTTCTGGGATAAAGATCTTGGTTATGGTACCAGACAAGTCATAGAGATTAGTAGGCATACCAGTTTAGAGTGAGAGAAATCTAATATAGAAAGTAGTTCTGTAATGATGAGTATCAGTTATAGCCCAAGCCTGCTGGGATCTATAGTTTGTTTCATTTGCCTTCCTTCTCTAAGATTCTCCTAGGAAAAGATGTTCACTAAAATTCTGAAGTTGCTTCCAGAGCTTAAATAAGGAAGTAGATCCAAACAATACGAGAATTGGGCTTTAGTGTACACTGTGTTGTATCACCAAGATAATCCTCTACAGCGGTGGTGGTGAGCCCATGGCTTTCCTGCCATGCATAGAGTCCTGTCAGCATTCAAGCCACCTCATCCCAGCATTACCCCAGCAGCCAAGCATCAGATAACAACACATATAGAGGGAGTGCTGGCACTTTTTGATAAGTAAGTGGGTTTGAGGTTGCAGTTTGGGCACTTGTTCTCTAAGTTTCATCGTCACTGCTCTACAGGAGCAAAGGATTTACTCCTCCAGCTACTGAGAGGGTTCCCAGCTAATAGTGCTTAGCTGTCAGTCTGTATTATAAATCCTAACAACTACGTATTTTCCAGATGCCTCAACACCCCCACGCACAGGTTGAAAGCACTTTACCCAGTAACCATATGTTCTAGCATGTTGCAGGTTTGTCTCTGCTACAAGTTCCCCATGTTTTCATCCTTGACTACTACTAGTGACATCTAAACACACCAGTGAAATCTCATACCTTGTGCCTGGTACTCCACCTTGATCCTCAATAAAGGCACTTACCCATGAGTCCTGCCTTTTATCTCAGCTCCTCACCAGCCCATTTGAGCTCACTCCTGTGGCATTCCTTTCACATGGGCCCTTGTATGGAATGTTATGCCTGCCCCTTCTAGGACACTTGAATTTCATAAATCACTGTCATATTCATATTCCTCTCTGTAGTGTCATTATTCCATGTCTGCACCAGACAGATTATCCCAAAAATGTTTTTAAGTACAGCCATGTTATGCCTCATAACAGGGATATATTGTGAGAAATACATTGTTAGGCAGTTTCATCACTGCAGTCTATATTCTATAGAATATACTTACACAAAGATAAATGTTACACACCTAGGTTATATGAGATAGTCTATTTTTCTTAGGCTACAAACCTATGTAACATATTACTGTACCAATTGTGGTAGACAATTATAATACAATTTTTAAATATTTTTGTATCTAAACATAGAAAATATATTGTAAAAATAGGGCATAAGGGATAAAAAGTAGCACACTTGTGTAGGGCATTTACCATGAATGAAGTTTTCAGGACTGGAAGTTACTCTGGGTGAGTCAATGAGTAAGTGGTGAATGTGGAGTCTCTGGACATTACTATAGATAATTGTAGATTTTATAAACTGAACACTAGGCTACACTAAACTTATTTAAATGTTTTTATTTGATAAACTCTTTAATTTTTGAAAACTTTTACTCTTGTGATAATATATAATATAAACACATTAGTCAGTTGTATAAAAATACTTTATATTCTTATTCTATTCGCTTTTTTCTATTTTACATTTATTTTAAAAACTTCTTAAACTCATCGAAAACTAAGATACAACACCTATTTTAGTCTGTGGCTACACAGGGTTCAGATCATTGATATCACTGTCTTCCACTTGCACATCTTGTCCCATTGAAGGTCTTCATGGAAATAACATGCACAAAGCTGCCATATACTATGATAACAATACCTTCATCTTGAATCCCACCCGCCTGCTGAACCTACTGAAGCTCTTCTTGGCTAGGTGTCATTCTCTGCAGAAATATGCCCTCGGAAATTTGCTTGGTTTCTTTTTTCTTTTTCATCATAGATTTTCTTGTTAGGAAATAATGCATATGAACATTCCCCTCTACTAATGAAAATCCTTGATGTTAGGGGCCTATATTTTCAGAAATTTTAAGAAGAAGCTTGCAGGAGTTTCTGCTATATCGATTACTGTGAATTTTCTTCAGGGTTCTTCTTTTTTCTCTTTCATTTTTTTTCTTGGTATTCCTGAGGATTGAACCCAGGGATGAGAGTGTGGAGTTAAAGTCCCAGCTCTTTTAAAATTTATTTTACTTTGAGACAGGGTCTCACTAAATTGCCCAGTCTGGTTGCAAACATGACTCTCCTGTCTCAGCCTCCCAGGTAGCTGGGATTACAAGTGTGCAACACCATTCCAAGCTGATTTCCTTTTATTTTGCCTCTGCTTCAACTTTATGTTCACTAGATGATAGCAAAATTTCAGTTTTATTTTATTTTACTTTTTTGGCTGCATTTTAATCTTATGGGATCATTGTCATATATGTAGTCCATCATTAACTGAAATGTCATTACGTGGTGTGTGGTTGTAATATGATTATTCCTTACAGTAAACAGCCTCCACTCACATGGATTGCTACACTGAATGGAATCAGATCACCTGAAGTCACATTTCTTTTTCGGTCTACTCAGATTTCAGGCCTAACTGGCTTGGGCATCTAAAGGCTCAGTCTGTTTTTCCCAGCTCCACATAACTCTTAACAATCATCTTATCTTCAAAACTCCCTGTACAGTTAACTATGGCTTCCTTTGGTACTGCAGCATAATTCAACTTCTTTATTTGCTTAGTCCTATTTATTTCCATGTTCTCCTTTAAGGCTGATCATAAGAGTAGGCCATATTAATACT